CTTCGAATTCGAGGATGCATTTTCGGGGTTTCTTTTTTTCCAACAATTTTGTATTTTTTTTTTTTAAAGATATTTCTCGTGGTAATAAAGAAAAGAAACGCGTTCGAGGTTTATTGGCGGGTTTTGTTGAAATGTAGGGCATGTGCATGCGATTTTCAAAGCTCGAGAAATGTTACCCGTTGCCCGTGTTACAGTATTGGCGGAATTATCGTTAACGGTCAGGTCATTAGACGCAACACGAATGTTTAATAACTGCGGGATATTTACACGATATATACAAGAAAGGTTCGATGAATAGCTGAAACTCGGAGACCATCATCGTACGAACCAACTTGTGTGTACATATGTACTTATCTCGCAGTTATTACAAACCAGTTTTTCGTTAATTACTGCCGGCGACGTTTAATTCCGCCAATACTGTGATGACCCGGATACTTGAGAAGCGTCCCCACACGGATAAGAGAAAACAAGATAAGGTGTGGGCAGAAGGAAGCAACCTCGCGGACATTTCACAATGGGCTTTGTTTTAGTCAATCAAAAAATGAAGCTGTAGATATAAATTTTCTTCCCGTGAATTGTTTTTTCTAGTTCAAGAAAAGCTAAAATTTGGAGTTGTTTGGTTTTTATCGATTTTGGTAAAACTGGCTCGGGATTTATTTTTCCGTGTTGATTGGCATTTACCGAAAACTCTGAAGAGTAGTAATGAGTCATAAAAACACCCAACGGAATTTAGAGCAATTCGAATGTTTGGGACTTCCTTTTTTTCTTCTTCTTTTTAGCTGTTTCGGAGCGTGTTTCTAGAAATATTCGAAAACCGAAAGTTATTTTTTAATGAAGAGGGACGACGACTGTCAGGTATGTATGCGTTTGTCTGTCCCCGTCTCTCTTCGTTAAAAAGCTTTCGTCTTTTAAGTTTCGTTTTTCGTAGCTCTCAAAGTTGGCGATAGGCCATTTCGTTTTCCCTCTTTCTCGCCGATTCTCGCTCTTCAAAAAACACCGAGAGCGGATTTCCACATTCCCTAAATAAAAATAAATATACAAAAAAATAAAAATTACTTAGTGCCTCTTTTTCGGACGGCGTGGGCGGAGCGAAAGCCGGAACGTAGGCCCGGGGGTAGGGGAGAAAACACCTCAGTAAAACAAGCTCGTATATTTTGTCCGGCCCGAGTTCCCCCTCGAGGATTTCGGAGTTAAGCCAAACTGCCGAACGGCGGATTCAAAGTGCCGCTCGGTTCATCGGTTTCAGGAGATTTACTTGCGACAGACTCGGACATTAACCGCCGCTCTGTCGAATGCGCTTTGTTTGTTTTGTTAATTTTGTTGCGGTTTTGTTGGCGAGCTGTGAAAGTATAGTTTGTGGGACGTAGAGATCTCCGAAGACCGGGATAAGACGAAGCCATTAATTGTTAGTTGAATGGGGTAAAATTAAGCCTGCTAAGGAAGAAGGCACCGCGTAATTCGATTTGGAACCTAATTCGCGATCTCCAAGCTCCAAACAATTGAACGCCAAAGAAGGCTTTGTTGTCTTGGAAGCTAAAAAACTTTCTCTTTCTAAATCTCCAGGTAAATTACTTTAGACCGTAAAGTCCTCCAGTAAGTATCCAGACCTTTGACATGAATTCATGGTGTCGTTTCTTTAAGTTTCACCAACAACAATTATATAGTTTTGATAATTCAAGGTGTCATGCGCAGGGCCGCCAAAATATTAGCTAATTATTGAGTTCTTTTTGATGAATTGTCACAAGTTCTATAGTACGTGGCTCAGCACTAGCGCGCTCGGAACATACGTTTGTTAGTGGTGCTCTTTTTTTTTTTTTGGTTTTTTTCATCATAGCTCTTGAAAAGTACGGTACCTATCATAATGTATAAGGCACTGCTGTCTTGAGGGTAAAAAGTGTGAACGCTTTTTTTAATGCCGAGACCACCTGCATATTGGGCTGCCTGACATAGCTAATTATAAGTCACGTTCAAGTAGTTTCATTTTGAATAATCTTAAATAATAGGCTATTTATATGGTATGAGTGGATTTGAAAATATTTGGCGCACTCCACGAAAGGTAAAAAAGAAAAAGAATGAAGGGGTGATGAAACGTACCATGGGAACTCGCCCGAACCTCTGTATTAACAAGTGATTAAACGGTTTCTCCCATACTGGACCGCCAGTAACTCCCTTTAAAGCATAACTAGTTGGAGAAGGACCAGTCAAACAAGAAGTCTACTCTCGTTTAGCGGCAAATTGAAGCCTCGGATATCAAAGCCAATCGATATCCTTCTGCATCATTGACCGCGTTTCTGGAAGCGCATATTTAGCTTGTGAAACTTATACTTATATCTTGCCAAGTGGAATTATCTGAATTATTGATCTCACAAGCCAAGCTCTGCCTTTATTAGGGGGTACTTTGTTTTCTCAAAAAAGACTCGTCCACGGGACATGGAAAAGAGTCCTCGTGAGTGACATTTTTTTCAGGTTTTCGTGGTGGTATTGTGAAGAATTTACCTTGCTATGCGATATAAAAATTGTCCCGTCAAAATATGTCTACAAATATCATCATGATATCTAGAATGATCCACCTATACAACAGAAGTTATACGAGGCAGAGTCAAAAACTAAGCGCAATTTATTCGTGAGAAAATCAAATCTAGTGATTTACTGCTGCGCTGCAAATATGTTTTGACTTAGCATAAGAGGGAACTGTGCACGCCGGCGTGGCCACTTGCTGGGAATTGTCACCTGAGCACAGCACTTTCAAAATGGGGCGCCAACGTGTTAGCATGCACCAGGGAGGAGCAGCGTTCGGTTATCCGATTTTCGGGCACAGAGGGCGACCAACCTGCGGATACTCATTGCAGGATGCTGAGGCAGTACGGAGACGCCTGCGTATTGCTTCGGGAGATGTAGGAGTGGCACAAAAAGTTTCGAAGTAGAGCGTCCAGTTTGACGGACGCACCTCGCTTCGGCCGGGCTCACGCTTCAACGACGCCGGACGCAATCTCTGCTGTGGAACGGCTATTACACGGGAACTGGCGTGTCATTATCGATGAAGTGGTTGAAAAATTTAATATTAGTCACAGCTCGACGCGCCATCTGATTCATGATATTCTGCAGTGTCACAAAGTATCCGCCAGGTGGGTATCATAACAACTTATGCCGGACCATAAGGAGCGGCGTGTGGATGCTCGTGAGGCGGTACTTCGACGCTACGAAGCCGAGGCAGAGGATTTTTTTGACACATTGTCACCGGTGAGGAATGCTGGGTACACTGCGTCCAGCTAGAGACAAAACGAGCGAGCATGGAGTGGCAACACACAACGTCACCAAGGCCGAAGAAGTTCAGGACAGCACTAACGGTGTGCAAGCTAATGCTTACGTTCTGTTCGGACCATAAAGACAAAATAGTTGAAGATTACATGCTCAAGGCATTCACTATGAACAGTGCATCATACTGCAACCTACTTGAGAACCACTTGAAGCTTGCCATCAGGTCAAAGCGTTGCGGATTGCCCAGCTCAGGGGTGTTGCTGCAGCACGACATTGCGCGCGTTCGCAAAGCACGTACGACAGCAGAAGAAAATTGAAAGGACCGCGATTCGAGTGTATTTCGCGCCTTCCATGGTTGCCAGACATCGCACCGAGTGATTTGTACCTATTCGAACCACTCAAAAGGTTTTTCGGGGGAAATAAGTTTGATACACTTAACTACCTGAAAGCTGCGGTGCAGTCCGAGCTCCAGAGTCAGCCACAATGTTTTGTTTTGTTTTGTTTTGTTTTTCCGTGGCATCTATAGAGTGTGAAGCGCTGGCGCACATGTGGCGAGCGAGGAGGTGATTATGTTGAAAAGCAATAAAGTGATTTTTATGATATCTAGACTTCCACGCAAATAAAAAATGAATTTTAGTACGTTTTGACTTTGTCTCGTACATCTTGACTGTATCAAAATTTCTTCTTGTCATGTCATCCTTTAGATATTAAAAAAAACGCAAAATAGCAACGATGTGTGACCTCACGTAGAATCAAACGTTATGCGCTACACATAAAAGTAACTTAAAGAAAGGTTTATATTATTTATTTTCATTTTTTGTTCATTATTTCTTTTTTTTTTTTTTCAAAGCCCACAGCACCCGTCAGAACGTTATAGTCGGGAAGAACAAACAGTACATGACATCTCGGTGGACAGGAAAGTCAGGCGCTGGCTGCAGTATCCAGTGCACAAAAAAAACGCAGAAAGGGGCACTTCAACTCATGATTATGCACTAAATCCCCAATACACAAGGAAACGAATATACAACGTTTGTTAAGCACTAAGCAAAGAATAAAAAAAGCTTTCCTTTACCAAAACAAGTTCCTCGGGTAAGTCGTTCAAATTGCTAAATAGTGCACGAAAAAAAATGGAAGATGCCAGTTTTACATGACAGAGGTCTAATCTTCCTTCACTGATCACGTCTACGAGAAATGAAGTGTGGTGGAAGTAATTATGTCTCTTTGTTCATGCCGGATACTGCATGAAAAATGGCAGTTGTAGATTTAGAGGAAAGCATTGACGTTGAAATGTTTTGTATCTTCAAATATAGAAACACGTGATATTTAACAGTTGAAGCATTCGTCATATTTGTTTAAGACCCAGAGTGCAATTTAGAATATTTATTCAAAAAACCAGGCGCACGAAGTGTGAACAATATTTCCCAGAAATTCCTGTTTGCTGGATGTGTCATTTCTCTGGCATGGGAACACGATCATCGTCTCCTTTTACATAAACCTTGCTTCCTTGAAATCAAGCTCGCACATAAATGCATGGAAATATTGACAAGGATTGATCCGTAGTCATGTTGCCAACATTTCGAAAGGAGGCAACCACACGGAACATTCGATCGCGTGATTTTGCCAGAACGATGTGAACCGTCCATTTGTTCCGTAAATGATAAATTGCTGGAAACGTTGCCCTCAATGTTTCGCAAACCAAATCCGCTTTCTATCTGTCCATACGTCCCATATTTTATTTAAAGATGACGGCCGCGTTGAGTTGGTTCGAAATAAAGAAATAGATTTTTTTCCTGCGATTCAGGCAGGATTATAGAAATAACCATCACAGACAGGCGAAACATTTATATTTCATATGCAATATAGTAATAAAACGCTTCCATCGCAAGAAGTTGCAGGAAAAGTAAAAGGAAAAAGTTAATTGATTTTTCCAGAGCTACTAGACCACTTCAAGCTGTTCAAATTGATCTTTTTTTTTTTTTTTATATATTCCGGTATTCTAGTTTTATAAATTTATGTTGTGTGAAAGTTTTTTTTTTATATTAGATTAAAGCGCATGTTAATTGTATACTTGAAAATGCTTCAAAGAACTGCCAGTTTATTAATTTTTATTTTTATTTTGCCACCAAGAAGAAAGCAGATACTGTTCATGGCTTTCGATCATTTCAGTAAATACTTATCACCTGCAACAACCACATTAAACTATTTTAGTCTGAAACTTGTTGAGGCAGCATTAATTGAGATTATAAGTTATTTAATAGAAAAATATTTGTTTGGTATGGTATAAGATCACATCAAACTCCGCGCAAGCATAGCCTTTCTGATGTGATATCATGGTCTTTCCTGATATAAAGATATCTTTAAAATTTAAATGTATGCTCTCCCGACGAAGCACGGCGACACTTCACCAGTGTTGTGACAGTGGCGGCGGAAAATCGGTCTTAGTATTGCTCGAATGTTGGTCGATATTGGGCAAATAGAAGTTCTAAAAAAATCATTATTTGTTGCAATACATTTTTTGATTTGAGGATAGCTCGATCAAGCAACCGTTTGAGCTAAACCGTGTTCCCTTAAACGGCCGTCTGTTTGTGTGCTTTCAACGCAGGCTTTGATCCCTCCATCCCCGGATTCCCTCGGTACACGATGATCGTGGACACGCACAGAGGAGTCTACAACCTCCGTATCCAAAATGTTCAACTCGAAGACGAAGCCGAGTACCAGTGTCAAGTAAGACGTCGCACTATGTTTCCTTGTCCAACCCAAAGTGTGTTCCCTTCTTTGTGCCACCTGTGATGAAATTTGTATTTCCCAACATACAGGGTTACATAGCGTCTCTTTGCGTTATACTGAATGGTTTATTTGTTTACTTTACAATACTGTCACTCCTTGAGCGGGTGCTACAGGACCCGATCAAGAAAATAAAACGCGGTTTTTCGGCTCTAAAATCTTAGCTACGCATCCCAGAATAGTGACACTCTGTGAGAACGTGACGTTAGCTGAGGTGACAAAATGTGAAAGATAGAAAACATGATGTAACCACGATCAGAATTATTTTTTTGAATGAGCGGACGTTGGCTTAGGCTAATGTTCAACAAGCCAATAAATAACATTGGGGGCGTTAAGCATTAATTGCAGTGCGAAAAAATTGGCTCCAAGAAAGTCCATGTTTTTTTAGTTTTTTTTCATTTTTCTTTTCTTTTGTACAAGTTTCTTTTTTCTTTTTACTTTTGTTTCTTCAATTTTATAAATGATACAGGCGATTATAACGTAATTTCTCCGTCTGATTATAATTAGGCTTAAGAGGACCTGGCCCCACAGAGAAAGTTTGTTTTTATCTCACATCTTTTGATCTAGCTAATGTCATGTTCTCAAACTTTCGCACTTTGTCACCACCACTAGTGTCATGTTTATTTTGTAGTTTCAGCTTTCTGAAACTACAGACACCCTGTGTCATTTTCTCGATCGACTCCTATGTCATAGGAGCAAGCAGAAAAAAAAAAACAATAATAACCACGCAATGCACCCGAAGTCTTCCTTGAATATCGATAAATGCCACACAACACTTTCAAAGATCATGTTATTTTAGAAAATTCAAAACCTAAGCAAGGCTTGGTACTCTTAGACAAGGCCCCCAGGCACTCTCAAGCTGTCAACGACAGCTTTTTCGCCCGGGGACCCCTAACACTGTGTTGGAAAATAAAATTGAATCGAATTCAATTGAATTGAAACATAAAATTATACCAAAAAGTCTATTAGCTACCTGTCTTGACACTTTGCAAACAACAATATGGTTGCAGCAACAGTGTCTTCTGACGGCACGGACGGAAAATTCAAGTTCTTCCACAGTACATAACCAACTACCACTGCAAAAATAAAAACTAAACTTGCCTTAACAAAGCAAAAACACAAAATAAAAATCAACAAAAACATAAATAAAGTAATCCACTTGAAGCCAAAAAGTGGCGGCCGACGTCCTGCGGTCTTTAAGTGTCCCAGCCAAAAAGCTTCGCAAAGAGAAAAGCAAGTTTCTTCGCGTAGGGTCCGCTGCCAATTCAAAAGTTCCATGAGGTTCATTCGCAAAATAGCACATATGCTCACCAAACTCTTACAGGGAATATGAATAATAAAGAAACGGGGGGCCTCTTTAAACCTCGGTCAACCAATCAATCTCGCGTCGGAGCGCTCCACCCATTACTCAGCCCTGTTGTTGTCGTCATCATCGCAACAATAATACGCAGCTTCTTTTTTCTTTATCTGTAGTTATTTTTTTTAAGAAAAAACGCGAATGCTACGCAGTTCTGATATGTGCAACTGAACTCTATGCGGCGAGTCGTACATTACATCTGAATTAATTGCACAATATTTAGATAACTACCCAGTACCTGCTAATTAGCTTCATAACACTGCCAGGATGAGTCACGTTACGCATTCAGTATTAGAGGAAATTTATATTACAGGTTTCACATATTTAACTAATTTAAGAAAGGTCGACAGGCGTTTAGATGTTCGTCCATCAGTTCTCGTGTTTAACACTTAAACATTATTACTAGTTTTTTTGTTTTTTTTTTTCCTTTGCGTTGTACTGTTTGACTTTTTGGCACCTCGTCATTAAGTGGACAGCTTGCGATCGGCGCATACACAAAGAAAGCTATTCCGAGATGGTGACGACGTAACTGAAGCGACAAGGTCACTCATCTAAGCGTGCGTCGTTGTGGGTAGGACTTTCGGTGCTATTTCTGCATGCAGATTCGGAATCGGGCGACAAAAGTGCGAAAACTGGCCGCTAACTATATATATATATATATTTTTTAATTTGTCAAAATTATTTTGCTTTTGATAATCACAACTTTAAAACTGCAATTGTAACAAAAAAAAAAGCATCTCACAATAAACTAAAAAAACAGTTAACGTATTGTACTTAATTATTCAACTTATTCTAACGAGTATCCACCCGCCCGAAGTGCGTTTGGCTGCGCAAGCCGCATTTGTGTACGTTTGGCTGCGCAAGCCCCATTGGTGTAACTTTCACATTCTAAAAAATTACAGCTCGCCTACTTTCCCGTGCATCACTCGGATATTGAGTCACTTCACTTGGCAAGGGCATGTTCAGAATGGGACCATTATGAAAGAGGTGTCTCTTTGAAGAACACAATTGTCGCTGGGCAATATAAGCATCTGGAACGTAACGTCCACTTCCCTGACCACGTCGTGTTTTCGGGCCAACCTCTCATTTGAGCATCGTCATTCAATGCGTGCACTCTGTAAATTACGATGATATGCCCAGCAGATGGTCTGCAGGGAAATAAATGCAAGAGCTATTTCTTTAAGTGTTCTAATAAAAGTCAAAGTCCCTTCCAATGAGAACTCAGTTTTCTTCATTCTGTAAAAAAACGCGAGGCGATTTTTATACTTCATTACAAAACAGGTTGACGTGCGCGTATATGTGAAGCACATTTAACGAAGAAAAAAACGGCCACGGCTCGTAATAAAGTTCTTCGGAAGAGAGTTGCATTGGGGCGAAACGCCTCTCTTTAATCAGCTGACGTGCCTTTAATCATCACACCTTCCTCCTTAATAATCGACCTTCGCAATAATTTTGGCGAATAGAATGTGTTCGTCAATACTAAAACAAAATTTAGTACAAACGTCATTAAGTCGTGCTACTTATTCACTTATTCTAGGAATACGCTTTCGATGAACCCATTTTTCTGCAAGAAGAGCATAGTCAACGGTAATGGAAAAAAAAAAGAAGCTAAATGGGTATTCTCCCTGACATTAAAGTCGCGTTTTTTCTCTCTCTCTACTTTAGCGCACAGAAGATAATATTAACGAAAGAAATAAAAAAAAAAAACATAACACGATTTGTTTAATATTCCGAAAACGAAACTGAGTTTGCGAAAGTGCTCCTGACTTGCTGTCGAATTAAATCAGTTTACCTGGGTCGACTGGGCTCCGGTTAGATGCTATTGCTTTTCAATTACTTTTATAAAAGCACATTTGCATGGGATGAAAAAAAGAGTAAGCTTTCACCTAGCATTACGACTAGTAGGCTTGAGCTGAAATGTGACTTTTTGGGTGCGTTATACAAATTATATGCGGACTTAACTCATCTTCAGAACAGCTTCTTAGATCGCGGAAAACTTATTTTCGATCCATACTGAGAAAAAAAAAGATACGTTGCCATGTGCATGATTTTGTTTTGGGCCATCATCTCAATAGTAAGCCAATTGCAGCCCTTTTTATTACTCCTCTTAAATTAAACTGTTTTGCGCAGTAATGCATAACCAGTTATACTGAATTAAAGGGAAACTAAGGACAGCTTTGGGCTTTTTCTTCATATTGTATTTTGAACAGGGTCAGCAAGTTTCTAGTTCTCTTGATCAATAGCTAAATATTCTTTTTTTTTCATAAATGTATTAAAAAAATACAAAAAACTTTGTTTCCACCGTTCTCTCTTTCGTCACTCATCGAGCTATTTGACATTATTGAATTGTGACTAAAGAGTTCTGTGACTGTTATAGTAGAATGTTCTGCGGAGGTTCCAAGCCAGTTCCTGCTTTCCTCGAGTTATACAAGTACGTGCCATGACTCTTCAAAGTTAGAGGGACACTCACGTGACCTTCTCACTTTTCAAAGCCGCAGACTTACGTCTATGCATTCGACAGATCTCACACCAAGCTGCCATTTTATTAATAGTTACCTTGGTCGGCGCAGCAGTCTTAATTCACCTTGCATTGTATGGGGGATCCAACAACAGTACTATACGTATTAGGTTGTTTTTTTTTGTTCAATATTTAAGTTTCATACATATTTCAAATTACGAGTTATTGCGGAATGGGCTATTTTTAGACTTCTGCACCTTAATAAAACATGCTTGGGGGTCGCAATTAGGGAGTCTTATTAAGGATACATTCTTAAGTGCCTGCATAGAACTCCTATGTCACATAATAAACGCAGCCTGAAAATCGTTTTTAGTACAATACATATGTCGCTGATCGATTTTGGGTTAGAAGCCATTCCCAAGAAGTCTTTTATTTTGACGCTTCAACGCCAAATGGTCCGAAAAATGTTAAGATGAGTCTTACAACCTAGATATAGCACTAATATTTATTATAGCTCATATTATAGCTTATTATTATAGCTTATTATTATAGCAGTAATATTTATTATATAGCTCAATAAAATATTGAGCTCAGTGTCCCTTGTTAGGGTTGATAAATGTAATATAATTACGCCAAAGAAAACCTTTGAGGTGGAAATAATATTCAAATTGGTGCCCCTGCTTCGCTGAACTCTGAAAGTGTGCAGGGTTTCAGTACTCGGTTAAACGCATTACTTTTGTCCCATATAAATTATTTAAATGAACTTTTGAACAGAAAATAAACGCAATTTGATTGTTGAAAGAAGGCTGCGTTAATACAAATATAAAAACAAGTTTTTCTGTTTTACTTTTATGGCACTACAATTTTATTTTTATAACCTATATGATTACCCAGTTTAAAATACCTGTTAAGCCATTTGCAAAAAAAAAAACTTAAAAAAACAGTAACAAAAAATTATGCCTTCCAACAAATGTTTAGTGTATGAATTTGAGAATATAAATGAAACACTTACTGAAAAAAAATGTTGGCGATATGATAAGAGGCCAAAGTATGCAGGCGAGCTGATTTGGAAACATCATTATCGAATAAATCTAATACCTGAGACGTTGAGAAATAAAATAACCGACAAGACGAAACAGAATCTTAAACGCAGCTGGGTTTATTTGCAAGAAAACGGCTATATATAGACGTTCTTAAAAACAAGAATGGAGGAACTTGTCTTCCTTTCTTTTTTGACTGGCAATTACTGGACCGAACTTATAATTTGTGTCTTAGAGGCCTTAATTCAGTGAATAAGTTGTCCTAATTAGTTTTTGATCTTTCAGGTTGGTCCAGCTCACAAGAACCACGCCATCTGGACAGCGGCTCAACTCAATGTTTTAGGTAAAAAAGAAGAAAAATCTTACCATGATTTGCATGCTTGGAGGAAATTTTACAGGAAGCAGCCCAGGCAATGCATTCACATTTCTCCGTCCTCATCAGATGTGGGTAGTTAATTACTAGACCATAACAGGCCTGGATGCATGGATCTGAACGTGCATGTCTTCATGCTGCTAAAAAAGGAGAGGTGCACCCGAAGAACCTGTCGTCATCTCCTTTTTGGTGTGTTCTTCAGTTGTTTTTCTTATGTTTTTTATATTACCTTTTTGGCAATAGTTGCGCAATATGCCTATATATTTACATTGGAAACACGAGTTTAAAAAACATGCCGAAAATATTATGTTCGGAAGGTGATGAAGTTATTTAGGACTATTACAATAAAAGAGCGACATGAAAAACTGTAGAGCTCTGAAATTGCAATATATTTGAAAATGAAACTACATCTAAAATTGTCTGTACAATGACCCCCCCCCCCCCCCCCCCCCGTAGCATGGTTTCCAAAGATAGTAGACCACGAGTTTTACCGGTTTCCATCTGATTCTAAGTTATACTTTATGCGCCAATCTTGTAGTTTTTATTTTTAAATGTGAAGAAAGGACTCTGTTGCACCCTTCGTGCTCATCCTTTGAAACAGCATTTTCTTTGCCTTCCCATGAGGTTTGCTCCACTTTTGATGTATCCTTCTTGATTTTTTTTTTTTTAATTTCTCGGTCTTATCCACATGAATTCTGAAGCGTAAAATGAACCACGTGAAGGCGCTTGCTTCATCTCAATCTTCTTAAGCCGCGGTCAGCCCGCTAATGAATTCTACAAGATACAATCTGCATACGTCGTCTGAGACATTGCTTGTCTGACGATGGTTATGCAAAAACCGTCTGGAGGAATGCTTGATTGAGGCGAGTCCGCAGACCATTCTACCGTCATGTTGGCCGCGAACGCTCTGCCCTTAAAGCTCATGTGTGTAAATCTAAACAATAAACACTCTACAATTATCATGGGTCTTCCTTTAACCCCTTAGCCAATGAGAACAGCGGTGGTGTCTCGAACCAAAGGTCATGTTGTTCAAGCGAGACAGAGGCAACCGTGTCATCTAATACTGATTCAACCTGACTATTAGGCCTTCACACAAATCGTCCTTCACACTGTCTTGGTGTGAATTGTTGTACACGCACACCACACAACTTCGTCTGCCAGCACGAACACGCACACAACAATAGATACTAAAGGACTTCGCAGAATTTATTTCTAACGTGCATTATAGGTAGTGGGACAAACTAGCTGACAACAAAACATGTTAAATAAATTAAAGAACTGCGAAAATTTTGAAACGGTAGCAACGGAAGAAAGGGTGCGAGTCCTATTTTTTTCTGGCGTTAATGGATTTTCGCCATCATCAGCTAACCAGGCACTCTGAAGTCGTGGTCACATCGCTAATACATCATACAAAAGTTAGTTTGCAAACGATCTGTTAGGTGTGTTTATTTCTTGTATGACATTCCTTTCACCTCTTGGGACACAGCGCGGACAACAGGCGTGGACGAAGAAGAAACACACAGGACGAGCGCTGACTATGAACTGAATTATTTTAATAGGAAAACACATGAAAACGACCATTCATATTTTGCAGTTCATCCCCCGTCTGCGTATTACGAGACACTTTCATAGCGGCGTGATGGCACGTGTTGCTATCCCAAATTCAAAAACGCCACCTCACTGTCCAGCAGTGCCAAAGACGGTTATCTGACACACGAGGTTCCCGCCCTTTTTATTTGGTACGCTTCTACTATTTCTCTAGACACTTGATCCCTGTGTCTGAACAAAACTTCAGTGTCACTGATTCTCGGCTCACAGTTACAATCCCGACAGTGCATTGCAAGATGAGAGTATGCACACCCCTTCAACGAACTCTGGTGCTCTCTTAGAAGTATGTTCAAACAGCGCCCCGTTTGGCCAATATACACCCGCCCACATGAAAAAGGTATCCTATACACTGCTCCAACGGTGCATGAAGCGAACTGTGTGCCATGCTTTACAGTGCAACCGTGACTACTCGGATTTTTCCGCTTACTAAGACGCCTTTCTATGGCGGGGCAAATCTGACTCAGCTTGTTTTTGGTCGAAAAAGGCTACTCACACCGTATCTTGCTGCGATCCTCTTTAACCCGTGCGAAACGCGGTGAATGTAAGAAATGGACGCCACCTTCTTTTTGTTATTCCCTTCTCGCTCAGCACAGTTTGTTACTGCATTGGCCCTTCAACTCTTTACTTTTTCGCAGGTTGCGGTAATCACCGGATCTGGAAAGCCTGCTTCTCGGAGCCTTGCTATTTGCTCTAAAACGCTCTCCTTCATTTTGTGCTCGCACGATTTCGACAGGGCATTCCGGACACAAGACACAGCAATACTGTTTTTTATCAGCTTTGAATGGGCGGACCGGAAATCAAGCAGAGATTTAGCGGTTCTGGGATGGTGAGACCAACATACATGCTCATGCGTAACATCGATACTGAGATCCAGAAACTGAATCTGGTGTTCTTTGGGGGTTGCGAAAGTGAATTTTAGCCCTAATCCTTGTTCATTGAATGTCTTTAGCACGTTCTCGATTGTCTCGTTAAAATTGGGTTTTTCTACGAATACAAGATAATCATCTACGTATCTGAAAATTCTTCCAGCAAGTCCCAAACTTTGTCTTGCCATCCAATACAGGTGGGCCTTAAATAAAAAAAACAGTACTTCAAGGAAATCTTTGACTGTTACACCGCATTGAAATCTGAAGGCTATCTTCTCATTCTGGTCCAAAATACATTCCTGTACGCTCCTCATGAGGTCGCCGTGAGGCATCGAATAGTACAGGTCTTCGACGTCTATCCTAAAAGCATTGCAGCTTTTTGGGTTGTTTTCCTTCAGAAACTCAATGACAACCAAGGAACTCGGGATGCCAAAAGGGTCGCCTATTACCACCGAGTAAAGGTTCCTTTGTAGGTACCCAGACAATGCTTGGAGCCAGGTGCCCTTTTCCGATACAATGGTACGAAACGAGATTTCAGGTTTGTCCGTCTTAGCCGCAAAGAATACCTCCAACATGAGGTTCTTCTGTTTTTTCACACCTGCGGCCACTTTTTGGAGGTGAAGTCTATTGAGGAGTTCTACAGCTTGTGCCTTAACCTTTGAGGGTTTACGGAGAAACTGTCGAAAGTTTTTCTGCACCGCCATACTCGCTTTCTCTGAGAACATGGATTCTGGCATAATGACGAAGAACCCCTCCTTATCTGACAGCAGTGCACGTAGCGCATGGGAAGCCAGATATTCTATCACAGGTTCCAGCGCTCGGCTTCTCGTAGGCCTACCTTCAGTCCTTGCCATAACGTCCACGCACTCCGCTATGCATCTCTATTTTTCTTACTCCAGTACTTTGCGTGACACGGCCCTTGATATTCCCAGTTTCTCAACTTGGTTGAGGACCGGTTCGAAGCAGAACTTCGGCCCCTTTGCAGAACCAGCTTGTGTTTTTCCGGGATCAGCTGTTCGCCTAGGACCACCACTGTGCCCTCCTTGGCGTTGGTTTTCTTCTTGGTTGGTAACGTGGGACGCACTTGATTCCACAGGACCTCGGTGCACTAGGTTGTGATGTTCGACCATTCTTGAAATTGGCGATTCCCTCCTGGCTGTTGCTGCGTGTGGCCGCAAGTGACACGTAGGCAGTCTTTGAAGAAGCGAACTTGTTGCCACCATTCCGAGCATAGAATTCAGCACATCCTTCTCGAGTAGTAGTAGTAACAAATTTATTCCGAAAAAGGGTGGCACATGGCCTGTTCCTTCTCGAGTGTCCCGTCGATGGGGTCATCCAGCCACAGAGAACTTGTAACTCCGGGGGGCACAGGGATTTTCTGGCGTACCATGACGCAACTCGAGCCTTGCAGACGTACACCGCGATCAGGGACGATAAAAGCGCGGGATTAGTATGAAGGTCGTTAGAACATTGAAAAGAGCCCTTTGTACTAGAAATTGCACTTAGAAGAATGGATAGTTGGGCGAGTTGATGGGAATTCATCTTGGGACACAGCGCGAACAACAGACGTGGACGAAGAAGAAACACACAGGACGAGCCCTGACTATCAACTGAATTATTTTAATAGGAAAACACATGAAAACGACCATTCATATTTTGTAGTTCAACCCCCGTCTGCGTATTACGAGACACTTTCATAGCGGCGTGATGGCACGTGTTGCTATCCCAAACTCAAAAACGCCACCTCACTGTCCAGCAGCGCCAAAGACGGTTGGCTTACACAAGAGGTTCCCGCCCTTTTTATATGGTACGCTTCTACTATTTCTCTAGACACTTCATCCCTGTGTCTCAACAAAACTTCTCTCTAGAGAAATAGTGGAAGCGTACCAAATAAAAAGGGCGGGAACCTCGTGTGTCAGCCAACCGTCTTTGGCACTGCTGGACAGTGAGGTGGCGTTTTTGAATTTGGGATAGCAAAACGTGCCATCACGCCGCTATGAAAGTGTCTCGTAATACGCAGACGGGGGGTGAACTGCAAAATATGAATGGTCGTTTTCTTGTGTTTTCCTATTAAAATAATTCAGTTGACAGTCAGCGTTCGTCCTGTGTGTTTCTTCTTCGTCCACGTCTGTTGTTCGCGCTGTGTCCCAAGATGAATTCCCACCAACTCGCCCAATTATCCATGATTGCTTTTACACTATTCATACGAAAATGCCCTCAGACATGTTCAAAACTTGCATATGTAAAACGCAAACTCGGTTGGAGCATGTTCAAGGAGTGTACGCCGATAATGCTGTCGTGAATATCTGCAGCGACACCGTGACCTTTGTATGATGTGCGAGCAGTGGGACGATAGCTCAAAGCGTCCGCGTGTCTCCTCTTCCAGTTCCTTCCAAGGAGGTCGAGCTTCGACATCGCGGCAACGGTAGCGTTGTCGAGGTCCGTGAGGCCGAGCACGTGAACATCGCCTGCTGGGTGAGGAACACCAAGCCTGTTTCGCACATCAAGTGGTTTCGCAACGGCAGTCCGCTACCTAAAGGTGAGATTTCTTACCTACTTCTTTAATGAAAGCACCTTTCCACTAAGCAGCAAGAAAAAAAACAAGAAAAAACAACAAATACTTGTTATTTGGCCATATTATTCAAACAACTAAGTCTAGCATCTCTGCTTTCAGAAGCTTATATGCTGCCACCGACTCACGATGCACTGGAAACAACAACCATTGGCTTTTCTTTTTTTTTATCGGTTAGTTAAAAAATTGGCGATAACCATCGGATGCCTATATTAAACTAGCTTCAATGGCAAAGATATATTCACCCGTTTTCCTCTGCAACTGTATATTATTGAAACACCACGTCGATTAATCTTCGTATTTAGCAGACTTATTCAAGGCACGATCCTGGTAATCGGCGTACTGGGACGTCGGGGTGCATCATACGTTCGAGGTATTTTTGAGGCATGTAAATAAATTAAAAACAAAAAAAACACCTTTTGTATTTTTGTGCCGTGGAGAGCAGTAGATAAACAACGGCTTTAGAAGAATTTGAAAGGGATTCTGGATGACCTTTCTCTTTTCGCCTTCGATAATTTCAGCTTCCCGGCACCTGGTTCCCGTCACTCCTCGGGAAGCCAAAAATATACTGACTGCCTGCCGAATGTTTTGTTCTCTCCTGTTATTAAACTTTTTGAGCTGCAGGCTACTTCGTATTAAACATTTAGAAGATCAAACTAAGCCGTTTATTTGTTGCCGAGAGATCTTTATTAAATATTTCTTGAGGAGAAGTGCCATATGTGCGGTTAGGGTTATTATATAATAAGAATTGTAATTGACAACTTAAAAAACACAGGGTACCCCTAATTATGTTCGCACTCCTTGCTTTGTAATTCTTTCTTTGACGTTCATACTATCGGCGACTGCTGTAATCTCAATGGCCATGGAACGAAAATATTATGCCCGGGATTTACCACGCCATTCATTTCTTCAACTGTCATGAACTGTAACGCTGAAGAGTAGAACGAATGCGAGCCTCATAATGTAATTGTTGTGTAAAACAGCACGTGTAAACAAGATGCATGTGCCGCATGTCTTAGTATGCGCGGACATAAAGTGATTGTTAAGAGCATGTGTTGAAGAAAACAAAACAAAAAAAAACTGTAATAAGGTGGAGAACTGGGCCAGTTGGTTCACGTTATACATGATGGGGAAAAACAGCTGAGAAAACACGAACTACGAAGAGGAACATACACGACAGGACAATGCTGCACTCGCAACTGAAGAATTTTAATTCTTCAATTGCAAGTTCAACGGGAACCCCGGCGGAGTCGGGGTTCCCGTTGACACTCTTGGCGGAAGTAGCCAGCACCTTTCTTAATAAAACAAAGAGGCTAGAGAGGACGAAGCCGCAAAGGGAAAAGAAGCGCGTGGAGGTGGTCCAAGTGATGCAAATCTATCGATAAATTAACTATCGATACTATCAATAGTTTTTCCAAAACTATCGATTATACCGCAGAACTATCGATAGCCGACTATCGATAGTACTATCGATAGTTTTTCAATAGTCAACTATCGATAGTTCTATCGATAGTTTTCCGATAGTCGAATATGGATAGTACTATCGATAGTTTTTTTACTCTCGATAGTCAAATTTCTGGCGACTATCGATACTATCGATAGTTTTGCATCACTATGCTAAGTGCTTGGGCTAGTTGCTGTCCAATTTGAAAAAAATAAAGCAAGAAAAAGAGAATATGGATTGACGCAAACTACTAGTTTCGCAAAACTAGCGATAGTAAACTGTCGACATTACTATAGATAGGTTTACGATAGTGGCTATTGATAGTTTTCCGGTAGTCGATTAACGATAACTTTCTGATAGTCAACTATCGATAGTACTATGCATACCTTTTCGATAGTCGACTGGCAATAGTACTATCGATAGTTTTTCGATAGTCGACTATTGATAGTACTATCGTTAGCTTTGTACCACTAAGTGGTCCCCTACCTCCACCGCGTTTCCTATGACTTGAAACAAGAACGTGGGACATCTGGATTACCGGTTGTGTTTTCGGCGCTCCAAAAACTAGGCCAGATATGTTCCAGGGTTGGTGCGGTGTTACGGTCGTTCCAGTGCGAAGTGCACCAAGGTGCACAGAAAACCTTTTGTCACTTGTGTTTCGTATGTGGTATATAGATGCCTCTGTCATGTAACAGGTGCTACGTGGGGCAAACAGGAAGATGTTTGAAGGATAGATTACGAGAACATTCATATTTGCTCGAAGCCACGGTTGGGGGGCTTTTGCAAATACATTGCAGAAAGTGCAAACTTCGGCCTGACTTTGGCAGCGTCACCATTCTGGGCGCACACAAGAAGAGGGTGACGAGAACGATTATAGAGGCCTTTCACATTTCGTGTCATGGTCATTCATGTGTTAGCGAACCTTCAATGGCGCTGTCAGCAAAAGAGATAGGTATCCTTCCTGCGGGAAAATATGAGTCACATAGTGAACGGGTAGTTTATTGACAAGCTTCACGGTTCGCGAGAGTGTTCCTTTGCTTGCGTGCAATCTTTTAAGATACTGTGTATGTTTTTTTATATTTGTTTTCTTTATTAAAATTATTCAGTGGCGAGTACAGCATTGTCATGTCGTGTATGTTTCTTTTCGTAGTCCGTGTTTTCTGAGCTGTTTTTCCAATCATGTAAAACAAAAAAAAAACATCCTTTCGTGGCACCTTCAAGTGCCCCTCGCTCATCTTCCGAAATGCCTCGCAGACAAGGTGCAGAGCAAAGAGGACGCTTCCGGCGAAAAGCTGCTCTCCGTGTACACGTCCATCACGTTGTATCCCAAGTTGGACGACAACCACGCCGTGTACACCTGCGAGGTTCACCACCCGGCTCTCACGGCTCCACTTAGGTCCTCGGTCACCATCAGTGTGCTTTGTAAGTTTATTGCTACAACGTGCTTCGCGTATCGCACATCTGAGTTGACGGTATTGGATGTCTTTTCAAGCGAACACCTGGACCCTCGGTCGGTAGAGGCCGAGATTTCAGCAATGTACGTGGGAGTAATTAAAGTGCCTTCTGGAAATGTAACTTAATTGTGTTGCACTCCAGGGAAGCCCGTTGTTCAAAATCTCATTAAAAAGAATTTATCATGGAATCATTTTGGGGTTTGGAAATAAAAGTACCTGAATAATCACAACATCCAACTAGAGTGGGGCGCAGAAGAAAGTTCCCTTTTTGAGCGAGACGTACAGTGTCTTGCTCGCCTTCACGAGTGCGTGCATTTATTCAATTTACACTCGCCAATGCATTCATAATTGTGTTGTTGGAATGCTTGAAACAAACATTACACCTGCGCATATCTTGGCATGTATAAAGCTCCCTGCGGCCCTCCTCCACCCTCTCCCCTTGGACGCATTCAGTACAACAATGGTCGATTTTCCTTTCTTCGGCTACTAAATCGGCCCTGTACACCTTTAGAAATATTGAGCGTCTACTTTCCCGCACTAAGCACAAATAATTGCTCGAATGTAGGGATGGAGCTCGGCGATCGACGAGGATGAAGCTATGTTTGGTCCTGAAAACACAAGGCTACGATGGGATTCGCAACTTTCAGTGATGGTGGTACCCCGGTGGGATAATCGCGCTCCCTAGATCTTAGACGATCAGCTTCAGAATGAAAGTGCTTACTTGCACCTTCCAGACGATGAAAATAATGCGAGACTCTTATATCGCTGGCGTTTTACCAAATTATAATTAACAACTCGTCGTAGACACAACCTTGAACTGCTGTTCTTCGACGACCGTCAAGACGACAGCCATAGTGATAGGATACTTCCTCTATAGGTCGTGAAAGTTGCCAGAACTGAGCATGGCGAAACGCGGTGCTCAACGCCAATGCACAGATTTTTTTTTATGTCGAAAGGTATATTGAATTTGGTCATTCGCTCCCCGCCCCCCTTTCCGTAAATTGCAACGATTAACTCCCCCAGGTACTTATAAGGATAGCAGACTTTTCATATTTAAGAGTGTAATCTAAACCTCACCAGCATCTAGATAATCTTAATTGTCGTCGTCGGCGACCTCCTTTGCCAGTCCTTTGTCAGTGTCGTCATCACCAGCATCATGGCGCTGTTTGAATTCCAAAAGTAGAGTGGCTCACTGTTGCTTGCTGCATGCGCCTTGCTCGACTGGCGACATCTTTTGGGACGCAGATTGCCGCCTTTCATGACCGCGGGCACAATTTGGCCTCCTGCTTCTTGACTGGCGCCGAAAACGAACGTATATGTGGCAGAACGCGTGACGTTGCAGGCTCTAAAAGTTAGGCCGCGTCACTTCACATGTGGTAATGCTTAGTAACTGCGCAAACAGTTCATAAACAACTGCGGACAGTGGGAGGCAAAACGGCGGATTGGCTAGCAAACGATAGAGTCGTCCTAGCTCTGAAAGGGCTGCCAGTCCTTCCAGAGCTAGGATTTCATATATCTCTATATCTTGACCCTATCTGAAGACACTCTACGCAGTGACTTTAACTCAAGCCAGTAAATAACGCAAAAGGTCGTGCAGTGAAAACGAGTTCTAACGATGCATGCACCTGGGGCCGGACACAGAATGATGACTTCTTAAAGTGTTTATTTATTCGTCTGTTCCTCAGATCCGCCCGGAGTTCCCGAGATTGAAGGCTACCAGGACGGCGACATCGTGCAAGTGGGGGACACGTTGACCCTGGCCTGCATCTCCCGGGGTGGCAATCCTCCGGCCACGCTCACCTGGACCAAGGACGGGGTACTACTCACCGCCAAATACAAGAACGCCACCCGGGAGGCCACAAACACGTACACCTTCACCGTCACGGCTGGAGACAACAACGCCGTGTATCGCTGCGAGGCCACCAACCTCGTCACGCTGCAGCCCTTTGAAGCCTCGGTGAAACTCAGCGTGCTGTGTGAGTAGATTCGACTAAATGCGCGTTGAAGGCAGCTGGTTGGCGGACGATATATTCTCCCGATGGCTCCGGCGTGTGTACTGCCCCGCGATATACTCCGAGAGCCAATAATTGCTCCTTTTTTAAGCTGCATGGCCAAGGACAAGGATGACTGCTAAAGTGACCCAGTGGGGTTGCAGGCTCGGTGGCAACAAAGCCCATCCTTTTTGCCCCTGACATAGTATGGCAATCGAGTAATGAAAGCGGTCGTCTTTCTGTTTAGTCGAATTTATTAATGGCAGAGTTATTAATTCCCTTCTCACATTGTCACTAACTATAAGGAATAATCACTGGCGGCCTTAGCTGAGGCCGCTGCTGCTGAGCGCGTGCTGACAACGGGCTTGCGCAGTTCTTTGGCAGCGTGCATTTTACGCTTTCAAGATTGCCGGTCTTAGCAGTCTATTAATTCGAGCGCACTAATAAATAAACGTGCTCGAATATGGCGTACACTGAGTAGCACCTATTGTATCGGGGATGTCGGTTTGATGCTCTGGCTTTCGGCTTCAGTTGCCCCTTCGCGCGTGAGCATCACGGGACCCAAGGAGGCTAAGGCCGGGGACATGGTGACCATGACGTGCACCACGGCACCGAGCAACCCGTCCGTGGACGTGGCCTGGAAGCTCGACGGCAGCGCCGTGCAACCGGCGTCCGACCAGTCCACGGTGCAGACAAAAGAAGGCTGGGTGACATCGTCCAACCTCACCATCACCCTCACCAGGCAGGTAATAGACAGCTTCGCCATCATCATATGCGGAATTTTGAATAGTGCGCGCGGACGGCAACCGTCGAACAATTAACATTTCCGATTATTCATTTCTCTCGTGCAATAATCACCACTTTTTAAGTGTGCCTCACAAAGTTCGCTATACTATGCCAGGTTATTTTATGACAGGAGCGCAATATTTTCATGGGGACAGTTCCGATTAGTAATAATGACAGAGTGTAAAGTATTTAATCAGTTTATTTAATGTCGCTGATACAGGTGTGACAATAGCATACTATTTCCTATATGAGGTGAGGACTTGATAGATTTTCTGTGAATCCGATGCCACAAAATCGAATCAAAGAATCTCAAAACAAACTCATGCACTATTTCTTATTGACCAAAATCATAGACGTGTGCTCTAGCTGCGACACGCTACTCTCATATTAAAATAATCGCAGCTAAAGATTCTGCCACCTCTACGTTGGTCAATTAATACCTATATCCCATTTTTATTCATTCGTGTTTCTGTTTCTTTTTTTTATATTTGAAAGTTTTTTTTGTTTTTTTTTAATTATGTGTCTACACTCTAAAACAATCCCCTCAGACAATCCTGTGCGTACGGACAACAGCCATGGTGCTTCATTCATTCAGTCGAACCAATCGAGAGTTCTAGCAAATCGTTTCTGTTGGCCTGATACCAATCAAGTCCCGCGCTTCAAAAACGCTTGGAAGTAGCAGTGCGAGCTCCTCCCACAAATTATGCGCAACGAAAACAAGAACTGACAAATTTCTCCAATGAGAAGGGCGATTATCTCGAAATAAAAACCTATCCAAATGCGCTCATTAAGGGTGGAACAAGGTGTATAGTTGGGTAGTTGGTTGATGATGTTGAAAGGGTATTAAAATAACCCAAAAGAAAGAGGGTGGGCAAGTGGAAGGAGAACACAGACACAGCGCTAAATTAAGCGCGAGACACATGCGCGAAAAATCCATCCGATGTGACGTCCGATCCGGCAATACGACTGCCTGATCCGAAGAATTTGGTCGCTTCAGACGTCGGATCGGCGACCCGGCGTGCGTCCAACGGGCCAGATAATTTCGAACGGCGGACGGACTGTCGGAAGCATCCAGCCAATGAGAGCATAGCTAGCGCGAACGTCATGATGGTGTACGGTATGGAGAGACGAACAAGCAAACGGGACTGACCTGAGCGACGGGAAGCCGGACGCGTGAATCGCGCTGACCCATTAAAGAAAGATGGCCTCAGTAAAGATTGCATGCGCTAGCGAGAACGAGACCCTGATTTCGCTCGTCCGAGCTGAACCGTCAATCTGGGACCAGACCTGGAGCGCTTGCCTGGGCAGAGCCGAATGGATCATCGTGTCGCATGCAAGGTCGAAAGCGTGTGTCTCCAACTGTCGCATACGGCAGTTAGGAGCGGCGTTCGGACTGTCGGATCGGACGTCGGATCGGACGTCGGATCGGACGTCGGATCGGACGTCGGATCGGACGATTTTGCCGTCCATGTGTCTCGCGCAATAGAGCTGAAAACTTTACTTGTGCACGGTAGAGCAAGTAAACATAAAAAACCGTATAGACACAAACAACAACCCGATAGCACACCCCTCCCCCATCATGCCGACACACGCCTTGCCGGACTTCCTTATGAAATCAACATCTTCACTTGCTAGGGCTATGAATAACACGCTTACACGAAGCGTCATAGCCAACAATAAAAAAAAATATCCAGAGTAAACCTAAGTACTTTGTTATAAGTTGTGAATGCGAAATCATTCTCGGCACTGAGAGGCGCAGAAGCGGCCGCAGCGCCGGCAGGGAGTACGGCGGTGCGCCGCGCAGACCGCTCTGGCTCGCTGGTGACTGCTGCGCCGCTGGGTGAGGCAACGGTGGGAGTGCGAAGCCCGGCGCCGCGCGTGCTAAAATCACACGTCTTCTCGTCCTCATCCTCGCTCTAGCTGCGGGCACCGGTTGACAACATTATATCTTAAAGCGTAAAGGTAGGCCTAACGTTAGGCCTAACGTCAGGCCAGCGAGTACCCGCGTCCCACCTCACGTCGAATATATGCGCGTACCGGTAGACGGCGTTAGACCTGAAAGCGTAACGTTAGGCCTAATGTTAGGCCAACATCAGGCCAGCGCATAACTGCGTCCCCCCCCCCCCCTTCCGCCCTCTCTAGCATTTTCGGCTGGCTCCTTAGCAACGATGACGCCGTTGCTAGGATCCACATGACGCGTCACAGCGAATGGGAATTTAGGTGCCGTTTGTCGCTGCTACAGACAACGATAGCGGCGGCTTCACTCAGATAACACCGGATCGCTCCATGAGTCCCCCCCCCCCCCCCCCCCCAATTTGATGCTTTCTCATTAAAATGCCTCGTCAATTTCCCTGCCAGACTTGCTTCTGTGCCTCGCGGTCTATTGTGATAGCTGTCCATGTGCTCCGGTATTTGATAAAAATAGGATTTTAGCGCGGAGCCGAAGCAAGTCTACCAGGCAAATTGACAAGGCCTTTTTTATTGCTAGCTATTACGCGGGAAAGTGCCTACGCGCTCCATTCACAGCCCTAACGAGTGACAAGTTAGATTTTATTAGGAAGTCGGGCAAGTACGAGTAGGCGTGTGTCAGCATGATGGGGAAGCGGTGCCTTATCGGGTTCACTGTTTTTTTAGAGCGCAGCTCTTAGGGGCCCGTTTCCGGCTTGAGCGGCGTCGCCGTCGCCGTCGGCGTCGGCGTCGGCGTAACCGCGCGGTGCATCATGGGAAATGTCCCATAATGCACCGCGCGAGCCCCCCACCAAGGTCACGTGACCTCGTGGGGGGTCACGTGACCCCCCGAAGTCACGTGACTCCCCTGAGGTCACGTGGCCCCCCGATGACGTCATCGTCACTGATGACGTCACCGGCATCCACATCGTCATCGTCATCATAACTGATGACGTCACCGGCATCCACATCGTCATCGTCACTGATGACGTCACCGGCATCCACATCGTCATCGTCATCACTGATGACGTCACCGGCATCCGCATCGTCATCGTCATCATCACTGATGACGTCACCGGCATCCACATCGTCATCATCACTGATGACGTCACCGGCATCCACATCGTCATCGTCATCATCACTGATGACGTCACCGGCATCCGCATCGTCATCGTCATCATCCCTGATGACGTCACCGGCATCCACATCGTCATCGTCATCATCACTGATGACGTCACCGGCATCCACATCGTCATCGTCATCATCACTGATGACGTCACCGGCATCCACATCGTCATCGTCATCATCACTGATGACGTCACCGACATCCGCATTGTCATCGTCATCATCACTGATGACGTCATCAGTGACGTCACTGATGTCGTCACCGGCATCCGCATCGTCATCGTCATCATCGCTGATGACGTCATCAGCGACGTCACTGATGACGTCACCGACATTCGCATCGTCATCGTCATCATCACTGGTGAAGTCATCAGTGACGTCACTAATGACGTCATCGGTACCCGCATCGTCATCGTCACTGATGACGTCATCAGTGACGTCAGTGATGACATCATCGGCATTGGGGGTCACGTGACCCCCAAGGTAACGTGACCCCCCCCTGGTTAGTTTAACCCCGCCCCCCCCCCCCCAGTGCCCTTCCCTCCTCCTCCTCAAGAGCTGCGCTCTAATTCGGCGTTACAGGGAGTTGTAAGCGGCTTTCATTTTTTCAATGTGTCTATCCGGTCGTTTTTATGTTTGCTTGCTGAACTTCACACAAGTAAATTTTTCAGTTGTAAGTTAGCGCTGGTATCGATGTTCTCCTTCCTCTGGTCCCCCGTCTTTTTTTTTTCTTCTTTTTTTTCTTCGCTGTTTCAATATCATTTCAGCATTAAAAGTGTCTGTTTTACGTCACAAGAAAAAACGATTTGAATTAAGAAATTTAGTCCCTATCGCTGCAAACTACCCCACAAACTTCACCAAAAAATAATTTCCGGATATAAGTTAGGTCTATGTTTCATCGCCATGCGGCAGATTACTTCCCTCTTCTTCGTCACCTTGGGAAAGAAAGGAAAGGGCAAGAAAGAAAAGCATGTAAATACATTATGTCGTTTATTAGTTGGAGTCAGCAGTGCAGAAATGCTTTTGCATATTCCTTTTTAAACTGCCTCTGACCACTTATGCACACCGAAGTTCCAATGAATATTCAGAGTGCAAAGACGTGCCAAACACACACACACGCAAAAAGTATTCGAAGTTAATATCCGATCTACTTCTGCACGAAAAGTGCCGAAGGAACACTGCTTTCTCATAAAGGCCCGCCCGCTCCCCCTCCCTTCTTCTTTATTGAGTCACGTTTGTAAAGAGGCAACGAACTAGGATGCCACATAAGCCACACCTTTATAAATTAAATATTTTTATCTTTGAAAAGTATAAGTTTCTTTTATCATGTGCATACATTAATGAAAAATTGGAGGGGTGCTAATGGCGAATTTAATAATTCAAGGTTGTGATATGCGCGGACGATGTGATACAGAGATGCATATTATCTGAAGTCATAGCCATAGTCTAATTACGGATTTATCACAAATATAGGAGAGAGCGCAATGCTTCAGGCGTTCACAAAACAAACGAAATAATAACACCCCTAAATTGAGTTCACACAGCGTACGCAGGCATTGTCAAGCAGAAAATAAAGCTGTTTGATTATTTACAAGCAATTAATCACACATTTCATGCATTTCAAGTTTGACAGCTTCAAAAAGTAGCGCGAGATAAACTCTCCTGACTTTAGGGGTCGAATGACGGGCTCCCGCCATCCCGGTCATTTAATTTCAAACCAACATAAATTTTCTTTTTATTCAGATATTAAAGGGACCATGAAATGACCTTTTTACTTTTGCGAGATAGCTTTTACATTAAAGCTTCAACGTTCACTGAATGTCGTACAGGCATCCGTTTTCGTCTCGGTTTATTAACTTCTACACAAAAATTTAATGAAATGTCCACTTTTTCTTTCTCTCCAACTGACCGCAAAACAAGCTGCGGCGTAATTTTGACGGTCGTGGCGTACTCTGGCACAGGAACCGGAAGTTCTCTCGGTAGTAGGAGAATGGGAACTTTAGCGGCGGCGAGCTGGGGGTGTGCCGGTAGATTATACTGCGCTGATGGCACTGATGTCACCGACGTATCTTCTGAATCGGCGCCTCTCCTCGCCGCAATAGCCATGGACATATCGCAGATGAGCGAAATTCAATGAGATATGTTGCGCCACAGCGACAGCATGAAACTATTCCCGTACGCCGGTATGCCTGTCGAGAAGTGCGGCGAGTCTTCCGGTGAAGACTGCAAAAGTCAACCGAACTGTCATTGTTGGTAAAAGGGGGCCCGTGTCAGTTGTTCGCAAAGCGACGTAGATGGAGACAAACTTCCGCGGCGTTTTTGGCGGTTTCGGAGATGCAGGAGCGAGCCGACGTTAAGAAAGATATGTTTGAACTACGCCAGTATCAGCAAGAGCCATGCAAATACCTGTTTACAGTCGGAAGGGACGCGCGCCTTTGGTGGAAGTGCTGTATTCGCGTTGTTGGTACGCGCTTTGGTATCGATCTTTTACGATTGCAACTTGATGCTGACGTGACACTCGGCAAAGGAAGGTTGAACCGCATTGCACGTAACTCCCACGAACTGTTATAGCTCGACAGTGACGTGCAGTCGTGTCAGAATAAAAACGGCATACTAATAATGAAGTGTACATACCGCGTTACAAAGGTAATCCCCACGGCGCTTATTTCAGCTCTATATCACACAAAACAAGATAGAATCGACGAGAGTCCCTTTTCGACGACAGTGTTCGTCAACACCGCCTCAGAAAACAAGATGACGACAAGCGGAAGAGATTGACCTCACCTTTTAATCTAAAATTGAGGTCAGCGATCAAACTATAATACGGGAAGGGCCCACAAGGGTCGCGCGGGCATATTCCATTCAGCACACCAGCCGGTCATGGGCAGACGGTCTTGGCCAAGTACCGTTGAAACAACGCTTCGCCGAGTCGGAGGGCCTGCTAGGCCTATATTCTGCCGAGCTCGCTTGGTCGGGGTCGGTGGATTCTTGGTTGTTGTAGCTTTTCTCGGGTGTTTGTGAATCCAGAGTTCTTGTTCGTCGTGGTCTGTTTCAAGTACATTTTACTTTTTTCTTTGCCGCTCGAAGTCGGGACGCGCAAGAAGAACACGTAGAAAAATAAACATTCGATGGTCGTCGCGACCAAGTAACTGAGCGACGTACGCTGTCGGCTCAGTAGGGTCCTTTTCTTGCTTCTTTTACCACACGATAGGTGGCGCTCGGTTCTCAGCATTATCAAATTTAGCAATTTTCGTAACATCTCTAATTATGCTACAAAATGTGGATTTAAATATTATTTAACAAAACTTTTAGGAAACCTTCGCCGGCTATTTATTATTTATGATCGAGGTGCTGGTGAGGTAGGCTCTTACCCAATAGGCGACGTGGATTCGGCTGACGTGTTGCGGTTCTGCGGATGCATCGCAGTGAAAGGCAGAGAGCTTTCGAATGAAAGAAGGCACAAAAGAGTCCAGTTTTTTTTTTTTTTTTTTTTTTAAGTTCTATAGCGAAGAATTTTTTTTGGCTTCCTATTGTTGTGTTTTTGTGTTTTTTTTTCACACCTTTCACGACGGTCGGTGGATGAAATTCGATTTCAGAATTGTTTCATGGTCCCTCTAATTGCGTGGTTTTACTTGCATGTTCTAACGATTCCCACATAAAAAAAAGAAGAAATCTGGGCGGTGAGAGTCTACGTCAGAGAGTCAATTTCAGGCTTCCTTTATACTTTATGTATGTTAACATAATACTATCATATTAACATACATAGCGCAATTCTTAGACGAAACTAATGTCACGCTTTAGTATTACATCACCTTAGAGCTTATATATTTGTGATAGATAGAACCTCCACGGAGTTTCTTCTTGTCTACAGGATCCTGACGTGAAGTCATTCACGTGCCTAGCTGAGAGTCAGAAGCTGCAGGAAACTGTGATTCAGTCGGCGTCCTTGAAGATCATATGTAAGCATGGTATTTAATTACATTTATTTAACGAGCGATATCCTAATTTCAAGTGTATTCGACCAGCTTTTACAACCCGACAGTTTACGTAGTTAAAAATTAAAAAAAAAAACTATTATTTTAAAAATGACGGAGCGTGTTACGATTATAGCAAACCCCATTTCCGACTGCCTTGCAAGAAAAGAAATACCAAACTTTGTACAATTATGCTTGATATCTAATTATATGTTTTGTACAAAATTCTCTCATTTCCTGTTTTGAGGTGATCCTAAACCCAATGTTGCGAAAATAACATATTGTTTTATGACCAGGGCTCCCTTTTTTTGGCCAGGAATATTTTTAGGTTTTTTTACATTAACTTGAACAAAGAAACAAACAAAATGTATTAATATTCAATTGGTATAACTCCTTCAGCCAGCATACACATGAAGTTTAAACACATTTAATCAAGAACTCAATTAGAGGCCGCTGTGAGTAGACCGGTTCAAATTAGGTTGCTACCCGCCTGCATTTTCTTGTGCGAGGTGGTGTGAAAATTAATCTCTCCTGGTCATGTACCCTTCGTAATACAATTAAAATTGTCCTCTTTTCAGACCCACCCAGGCCTCCTGTCATCATCGGGTACGAAGAAGGCACTCCAATCATGGCGCATTCCATCCAGAGGATCAAGTGTGTTTCCATCGGCGGCAACCCTCTACCGACCGTCAAGTGGTACAAGGGTTTGAAAGAGGTGATTCTATCAGGTTCCCTTATATTTAGAAAGGAAGGCCCCATGTCGATAAACAAGAATATCTGGAATTGGCACATCTAGAGTACCGCATACCGCCCGTGCATTAGATAGTTTGCGGAACGGCGGGCTATGTCATCAGTCGGCAGGTTCTGGCGGTGAGTTTTGTCAAAGCGCTATCAAAGAAGGCGTCGCTGTTGCCGCAGCGCCTTAACCCTTGGCTACGGGTCCGGATTTATACTGGAATTTTTCACATGTCACCGACTGTAAAAGCAGAGCCCTAGCTAGGATTGTGAAATAATGCGTTGCAAAGGTTAGGGGGAATGAGTGCGTTGAGACTCGATTGAAGCGTCACGTAATTCATGCGCACACTACAACGCTAAAAGTGTGTACGTGATATAGTGAACTGTAATGTAGTCGACAGAGCAATCATTAGACTGCATTTAATCAGTTTATCCCTTAAGAAAAGCGATCGACAACCCGCTCTCATGACAATACAGTTTAAATGGCAAAAGGGATTGCTCTCGTCCTTACCATCTGCCGCATTAAAAAAAAAATCGTTGTGGTTCCAGCAGATTACTGGGCACTGTAGGGCGCTTTCACGTAATGCCCTCAAGTGCACTCAAAATGCCAACTGGGCGATGAAGAACTTTTTCTGATAAAAAATGTAGATAAAACAATCCCTTATAGGCGCTTACAAAGAACCCGTTTAGGGGGTGCTTAAAAAAAACTTTTTACGGTGAAAAATATGAACAAGCCGAAAAAACCCTAAGAATTATTTTAGGTTTCGGCTTGAGCTTCTTACAAGCGGTATGCATTGTGCCTCCCTAATGATGTCTGCGTGCATAGGGCAACACCCATAGATCTTAACTTCTTCGACGAGAACCTTCAGTGCCTCTCGTGGGGGGCGGCATGATTTTCTTTTGAAAATTGGCTATTTATTTTTGTCCACTTTCTTGGCTGCATCTTGTCCAGGTTTGTGTTGATGGAAGAGAAGTTCGAAAAACTGTGTTTTGTTCAGATTTTATGCCGAGGTTCCTTTGCCTTGTCGTTGTGGAAGTTGAGTGCACGCAGTTTCCTCTGGAACGTACAGGTGCCCAGAGCGAAGGACATCCAACACGAACCATATTAGAGTACCCTCATGCTCGCAGACACCACCCAAACCAGCAGGGCAAGTGCAATGGCCACATCTCGCAGATTTATCAGTGTTGGTCACAAGATAGCAACAGCATTGTTTCTTTAGTGAGAAAGATGACTAAACAATTCCTTTCGTATAGGCCGCTCCATCTCCGTGTTGGAAAAACACATTCTTCACTTTCTTTACTTTTGATATAGTGTAGCTCTCATAGCGCTTCTAAGCATTCACTTCTTCCTTATATTTCAAGTCGCTCACCTCACGGAAGCCTTTAGGGAAACTCTCCAGTTGCTTCGACCAAAGCCCCTTCGGTGTCGCACCTAGGGGCTGATTACGGGGCGCAATATTAGAGAATAAAACAATATTTAACGTGACTCACCGTATTGTTCATACTATTTGAATAATATAAATGTGTCAAGGAAACTAACTACAGTGCATGTGGTGTATTTCTCAGGGTAAACGCGCTGAAAACAACGGATAAGTAAAAGAAGCGAACAACACAGAGCGCTACTTGCAACTGAAGTTTATTCTTGGAAAACATACATATATATACGCAGTGAAATCACGACATATACGACAGCGTGCGTTGAAGTGCGTTGTGTCAGCGCTCCATCGATAGCCCCGTTTGGCTCTGAGGTGGCGGTTTTAAAATCTTTTGTAAAGTAGATAGCAGACGGACAAGCACTGATTGGATGATGCCGCATTTCTGTCGTACATGTCGTGATTTCAAGGTGTATATATATGTATGTTTTCCGAGAATAAACTTCAGTTGCAAGTAGCATTCTGTGTGGTTCGTTTATTTTACTTGTCCATTTTTTTAGCGCTTTTACCCTCGGAGATATGGATCACCAACTAGCTCAAGTGCATACCCTTCTGCATATAATGCAGCAACACTACTACAATTTTCGAGTAATACTCGCATAAACATGCCGCAACAAATAACGTTGAAGAGTAATGCTTTGCAGGAAAACAGCTTTACTCGGTGACACCTTTGCGAAAGTGCAAGTGCGAACCTAACGAGTTTGAGGTCACATAAACGGCTGCCGATAAAGCCTCCCATGATCGCAAGCTTCGCGAAACGCTAAGGGTTGGGGCTAGAAGGCCTATGCCTAATGAACCTGCACATTCAACTATATGGGCGCACCAAAACCACGACTGTGATAAAGCAATGGTGAGGGCGCAGGCTAGCTGGTGTGAATTGAGCATAGTTGTAAACCCAAGACTGGGGATACGGACAAGGGAGAAACACTTCTTCCGTGCCGCTTTGTGTCTGTCCCTTGTCCGTATCTCAAGTCTCGGGTTTAAAACTATGCTCAAGACCACGACTGTGTTTCGATCATTCGCCTGACCAATTTCCTCACAGCGACGTAGTAAGAGGTGCTTGTTGGCTCTTGAGCGTATTTTCGTATACAGAGTTTCGTCAAATACCACGTTAGCCCGACTGAAAATAGTGGTCGACAAAGAAAGGGTGTTATAAAATTGGAGTATACTATAGCCTCAGCGGCTGTTCTCGAGGTTGAAAACAAATGCACGCAGCGAGCGGGCACGGCGTTTCTGCGTATACATCGATCTGCGTTCACTTGCCTTTGCCATTGCGGCGTTTTCGGTCGCTCCCCGTGCCAGGAAAATCGCAACTGTTTCGTGATTTGCCGTATCTGATAAGAAGCGACGAGAGGGCTTAGTGCATCGCGCGGAAGTGCGGAGCCATCCACGACTGCGTGAGCAATGGCGGTGCGGAGGCGATAGCAGACGTCAGATGCATAACCCGGCGATACCGAAACCGAAACTACCCGTCGACGTTCTTCTACTTACAGAATAGACCTGAGCCGCCAGGGGCGCTGCTATTTTGCATGTTGTAGCATGTTGTCCATTCAAGATCGACCACTCCGATCGAGACAATCATGCAGCGCCAAAAGTGCAACGTTGCCTTGGTGGGTTTACAATCACCGGCCAAACCAATCATGCCCAGACAAAGTGCGGACTCGTGGCGCATTCACTGCGCGTAACTGGTGTTAGTTAGCCAACTCGGTAAGGGCATGAGCGCCTTGCGATGCCCTTTTGTCGCTGCTTGGCCGGCTCCACCGCATTGTAGAGCTGCGGTCAAACTTGAAGTGAAACAGAGTATAGACGAGTTGTCCGAGTTGGCAAGGTGCCAAACTCCCGTGCTGCGAACTAACTGCGCTGTTAGCTCACGTGGCGATGTCACGACACTTTGGGTATGCTTCCTGGCCCCAGTCTGCTCATTCTCGGTGCTGTGACAAAAACTGGAAAAGAACGGGCGATGAGAAGGCCTTTCGCAAAGACCCGGTGGCGGCAAGTGCCAAGATGACGAATAGTGAACTTCAGCTCCGATTGAGTTTCTGAAAAATCTAACTCTGCATATGGCAGTTTGATTGATAGAACAGAATAAAGTGTGTGTGTTTTTTTTTCTCCCTATTTATCGCGGGAGTTGGACGTTGTATCTCCAAGGATGGCATTTCTCGTTTCAGTACGCCTCGCTGTCTACGGTAACAGGCAGTGGTGTGTCCAGCGTGCTCGAAATCATGGCCCAACCGGACGACAACCAAGCGACCTACAGCTGCAAAGCTGCAAATTCTGCGACCACCAAGCCACTAACCACGTCCATCAAAACAACTGTTTTGTGTGAGCTGACTTTACCAGCTCACATTGTTTTGCACTCAGTGTACCATGGGGAGTCATTTTTGATCTTAAACATTTCTGGTGTATGAAAAAAAAGAGACCTGAAGAGTAAAGGCGGACAATACCCCCTTTTAAATATACATCGTAAATAGCACTGTAATGCCAAGCACAAACACCATATAGAAGTATTATCTTTAAGGCTTTGCAGCACTTATTAGCTTTCTATAAAATATAGGACAAGAACTAACGGACGACCAAAATCGTCTTTATAAAATATCCCGACCCTTCCCATATTTATCGTGTCAGATAAAGCTAGAGTCTACATTTGTTTCTCATCTATATTTCTCTTATCCAACACTTTGCCAGACATTCTTTTTACACATTCGTGCACCAGCCATTACCTAAAAGTAGAGATCCCACATTGTGTCAGCTTTCTTTCTAACTTTAAATGCATGCTGCCTACTGAAAACTTCCATCGACTGAGATCGCTTCTCCGCATCCACGTTTTGCATAGCGGATGTTACCAGTTTGAAATATGTCATTACTGATTTATAATCAATGTTTCAAAAGCATATAATATATTTTTGCCCTTTTAATTCATATTATATTGATATATAGTTTTTTTACGAATTAATCCACTCTCCTCTGCATGGCCTTCGGGCCCTGTGAGAATTATAGATAGAATAAAAGAATCGCCATTAACGCATTTTGGCGCCCGCTTATACAAATAAAGCTTAGCGCCTCTTCCCTGACCTGTTTTTGTTTTGTCCGTTTTTTTATCGTTCCGTGTCTCCTGTTACTATGGAAATCCTCTTCCCGATAATTATTTTTTCTGTCTTTTTTGTTGCAATCCCCATTATCTTTTTTTTTTTGTTTTTGTCTTATTGTTACTGGGTTTTTCAGCTCCACTATGGACATCAGCATCTCTCTCTCCTTTTTTCTCTCTCTCTAGCCTCCCTCTCTCCCTCTTTCTCTTCCTGAACACATTCTTAATATAGAGTTTTAGTGGATGGTGTTTTCAGGCGACGCTATTTGTAGCGGGAGCTCGCGCTGCCACTTCGATGCATGCTCTGAGGCGCGCGCCTTTAACGGTAGCTAAGTTTTGAAAACGATCTACTAAAACTCCTGTTTTTACGATAGTGTTTTTAGACGGTATGTACTTTTGTTAGTTTTTTTTTTATTCTTCTTTTGTTCAAGAGCTTGTTAACAATACCGGTGTTGACCGTTGACCGGCCAATCGCTAGTCCTTCCATGTTTATTTCTCGGAATCGTGTTTTTTAAGCTTTGTTTCCTATATTAATTTGCAAATACGGCTTCCACTTTTTAGATACATAAAGTGAAATAGTGGAAGCATACGCAGCTGATTCTAGATAGCATAGGAAAAGAAAGCCGGGAAGTATGCCCCCTCCTCTTATGATTGAGTTGGCGTTATTTAAGCAAAAGTACTTCTTCTGGGTCCTTGCTTTTACACATTTTAGATGTTTTCCTATGTTTACACTATTTTTATATAAATATTCAGAATTGTGTTCAACATAAAAAGACGACAAAAACAAAATGAGCCGATAAGGCGACGCATGTAATGGCTTGTCTCTGTAATAATGCTAATGTATTTTGAACAATTCTCCTTAGAACTGGCTTTCCTTACACAGTCGCGGATAACGAGACTGAACAGTGATGGACAATTGAGTTTAAACACAGGTAGTGGTTAATGCTTATAGTTATATCTACGTGTCGTTGCGACGTAGGTTCCCAATTGTAGGGAACATTCCTGAACAAACTTCTAAGAGGCATCATCTTGTAATTTTTTCAGTTGCGCCGAAAGCCGTCTCGATTACAGTGGTGCCACAAGCACCTAAAGAGGGCGACACTGTAAGTATCCCAAATATGACTCTTTCTCTTTTTATTATTGTAACTAAAGTGTGCTGAAAGATATCAACTCCCTACATGTTAGTAAACATTACAATGACATTTTTTTTATTTTGCATGAGAGGCGAAAATCGAGTGCGATGAGCTGCTCATGTCCCTTGAAGAAGTTTCTTCCTACTACACGCAGCAACAAGAATCTACCAGGGCATAAAAATGTTACTGTTTACAGGAACTCAAACATTTCTATAGGAGAATAATACAATTTTAAGCTATCTGATTTTTAAAATATAAAACTAACGAAAAATGGACGTGAAATTAAAAAAAAGCAAATACAACAAAATAGCAAGCTTCATTTATGATTTCTTTGACATTAGCTTTTGGCGTAAACATGAAGAGTTCGTAGTCTTTCTTTGATGCATAAAATTTATCCTTCAAATTTTTGTGAAAATTAAAACAAAATTTTGACAACAGAAAGCTAATTTGACGGTATGTTCTTATATACTACATAGTATGGTTACCGGTCTGCCATAATATTGCGACAGTGGTTCATTTTGATGAAACCTTAGAGTCATTAATTAATCCACAATGAAAGCTATTGTAATCTTCGACGTTTTATACCTAAAGATAGATCGTGACAAATCTAGACATGAAGGCTCTTATTATAATCGTTCGACTAGTCGGACTCATTATTTGATCAGTCTTTAATAAAAAGAAAAAAGCGTTGAAGAGCTGTAGATGGTAAAAATTCAGAACGGGGCAAAAGAGATATCAATAGAACACACAAGAAATCAAAAGTTCCGTATTGAATTACAATTATCATGTGGACGAAAATGTTTCATAGTGTTGCGTTACCTATTTCCATTACAAACGCATTAATTACATAAATATAACACAAATTTTGTTATTAAAGTCCTGCTTTTTTACATTATAGGTTTCACGTACATTTAATTTTTTCAAGTAAAATAAGACAACCGCGGTAGATGCCTTATTCCAGTGAAGATATTAACAATGGCTGAAACTTGCTGCATGTAATCCTTACCTTGTACGAGCTGGGCATCTACACCACATAAAGTCCAATTGGAAAATTTTACTGGTCGACTTGGAGTGTGACTTGTATTGCGTCTCCTCTTGATGCTATATATCGTGTGAAGCAAATTCAGCACAAGTTGGAGGGGAGTAAAAGGTTAGTGTTGTACACGTTCCTCGAAAAAAAAAATACTCAAGATTTGTTACCGTTACTTGCTCAAACTTCCCTACATCACATACGTCGTTCCCTTTTGTAACCGATGCGCTGCATATTGAACAAAAAAAGTAGTAACGATTTTCATGCCATGCGTGCCTTGTGTCGCGCTAAGTACAGTGCGCGATAATGTTTACGCGAACACGACATCGGAATTTTTTCGTACTTTAGTTCCAAACGGTTTTGACGGGCACCAAAGTTGGACCTTTAGTTTAGTTCCTCAAGTAAGCGCTTTCCACTGCTCTTAATGTAAAACATTTCATTATAAAAAAATAAGCATATATTTTTTTCTTCTTTGCTTGTTTGCACTAGCACTGCACTCAGTGCATAGTTCGCAAGAGGTTTCTTGATACAAAAAAAAAAAAGTATATAAATCATTTTATGCGCGATATCACTTTCACAACACGCAGGTTGTACTAACGTGCGAATCCGGAAGCTCGAACCCCGAGAGTTCAATCCAGTGGCTGCACAACGGCAACCCGACGGCGAGCCACCACCAGAGCCGCGTGGACGCGCAGCACGGAGGCAAGGCGACCCGAAGCAGGGTGCGGCTCAACGTGACTGCGGCCGACGATGGCGCGGTCTTCACGTGTCGAGCCTCAAACGACATCCAAGAAGGCGCCCAAGACAGCGTGTCTCTGCGCGTGCTACGTAAGGATGCCGCCTGTAGCGAGGAACAGGGCGAACAGGCCCCGTGAATAAAGTTCTCCTCTCGTTCGTGCCAACATTTGCACCCCACTGCGAATTTCGTTCCGATGGATGCCACCCTTCCAGAAGCATTTGTTATGTGTACAGCCGCACCATGCAATCTGAAAAGCACCTATTAGTTTTAACCTAACCACTTATGGTAATTAGGATAGTCCCAGTTTGGCGGTGAAAAGCCAGACACCTGTCGCACCACTTAGACTAAATGGTCAGTGAGACAAAAGCTTTAGGAACAAGTTTTTAATTGAAATCATTAAAAAAACTGATTGGTTCTGCAAGTGCGTTGTCGGCCCGTATGCGTAGAAGTACTTCCAAATGTGTGTGTCTCCATGAGCTATTGGAAGTTCTTGCGCTTAGACCCTCGCTTAACCAGGTGTTGGTCAAAGTAGCTATATTGGCTCAATGAGTTCGAATAAATCTAGTAGATTTTGAGAAATCGGAAGAACTTGTAGTTCGCTTTAGCCTAATTAAATGAGCGCACCACTGATGCTTCCAAAGTTCCATTGGAGTGTCATATATTCGCTGCTGTAGCTTCAGCGGAATGTGAGAGGAACGTTTGGTACCTCAAAACAGATATACCTGTATTTACTTGTTTTAACATATGTTGATGTGGTCTCAGCAAGATCGATCATGACTTTTCATTTCTTCAACTACATTCGCAGATTTGAAAGTCGGTCAAAAAGAGTTATGTCTTCAGCGCAGAAAGTTTTCTGAACCCTACGCGCGTAGAATTGTAACCTTCCGCAAACTTGTATTAAACTCGTGATCTGCAATTCTGTGCGATCAAGATGTTTCATATATTCTTCTACTGCTGTACCTTGATTTTCTTCTTTTTTTTTTCTGCATTATTCATTTCCAAACAAGAGTCCCGGAAGTATGTTATCTTAGGATGTTCTGCCGCATTTTCACAGACAAGAGCGCAAAATACCGTTCAATCTTAAAAACAAAAAAAGACAGCGTGTATTTTTACAGTTAGCAATGTGAAACCAAACTCTTTTTTTTCTGTGTGGGCTACTGATAAAAAAAAAATTACCGCAATATTTCAGGCAAGACAGCGGTCGACTAATACGCGAACATTCACAAACACACAATCGAGCTTCGGGTGCCGGAGCAGATGGCATTCAATCAAGCTCCAAGACATGTGCACGTTTACCAAAACCTGCACGGTCACCCTCGATAATCCGCGAAGCTAATCTGCACCTTAAGCGTTTGCTTAGGTCTGAAGAACTTAACTATAACTAGAACGATTAATTCTTAAGCAAAGTTTTGTCGTAACAATTCGGCATACGCTCTCGGAAGATCCTGCATGCACACTGCCCCTCGATGCACCCGGAACACCAATCACTGGTCTTCCTTAAATCATCGCTGCCAATGGAAAAGGCGAGCGGTATCGAGCTCCAACGGTCAAGCAGTTCCCAAAGTCAGAAGGAACAAGCACTCCTCAGCCACCGAGATGGCGTGACAACAGTGGCGAAATACCTATCTCCAGTCTTCTCATTGGCTAAGCTTCCTAAAGGAAAACCACCGACGGGTGTTGCGAGTGCAGTGCGGGGCAGTATAGGTACGGGAGCTTCTTAGAGCGTGCAAATCGGCCAAAAAAGGCGGAATCCAGTTAACAAGTCCTTCCCTTGTCTCTTGGTCTCCTTCAGACAAGCCACTGTTCCTGCACCCGCCCATGGAGAAATATGAAGTGAAGCAGGGGGAGACCGTGCTACTCAACGTGTCCGCGCGGGCAAACCCGTCCAAGATGAACTATGCATGGACGAAAGATGGCGTCCCGCTGCCGGGACCCGACGACGCCTACTCCTGGCAGGAGACTGTGGCGCACAAGGTCTTTTACCGTGGACCCGCTCTACACGTCTACCAAGCACAGAAGGAGGACAGCGGGGACTACGAGTGTGAAGCCAGCAATTCGCAGGGCGCTACCAAGACCACGATCATTGTTAAGGTGCTCTGTAAGTACTACGGCTGTCAGTGGCGCTGGAGGAGTTCGTTTAGAACACAAGGTGGAGCGGGATGGTCAGTCAAAAGTATCTGAACATAGCAAAATGCCGGAAATGAGGTTTCTGGAAAACACACTGCATGCAACATATAAAAACATGAAGGCACAATGATATCCCCAGAGACGGCCGACCCCATTAGATAGCCAAACCTTGTCCCCAGTGTTTTCCCTGATAAACGAGTCAGAACACGGCCCGTCCATAGAAATTGCTCTTGCTGGGTTTAAAAGATCTGTGTGGCAAGATAAGAAATATGAGTATCGAAAAAAATAGAGAGCCTTATTTATTTCAACTTAGAGGGCATTTGCCTTTCTCTTTGTTGTAGTACTATACTGGTGATATAACCCATTCCTACCAATGTAGACCATAATGTTGAAAAACCGGGTCAAGCATTTACAATCTGCATTCGTCTAGCTGCTCACGGAAAAAATGCGCACCTGTTTTTTTTTAGCCTATCTTTAGTCAGGGGGAATGGGCTACTTTTTACGGTATTGTAATATTTAAAAGTAGTAAGTAGAACTTGAAAATGAAGCTCCTGGGAAATATCAGAGTATCCGCCGATGCTTTAACGAGAGACTTAGTTCCCTCCTTTCTCTTCAGAAGAAACCATTTTCTCCCAAGCAGTTCACATCCTGTAAATACTACGTATTTCCCCTTCCATTAACTCTACCTTTTTGCTAACTCATCCCACATCCCTGCCCATTCACTCAGTGGCCGAACGTTTTAATTTACAATAGCGTAGATTAGGTTATTCAATATTGATTTGTCAGCTTAACGAATCTAAATTGCTAAGTGAAGCATCGACTATTTGTAAGATGCTTTCAGAGGTGCAATATTAAGTTCCTCATGTGAGTTCCGACTACCCTCGTAAATATATGTTTTTATTTAAACGGAACTTCAGTTTAGCAAACATTTGTTCATTCCTTCTTTTTTTTCGCAGAATATAATTCACAAAAAAAAAAATGTACTTTTTATTTCGGCTCCCTCGTTTCAGCACTGAAAGCTTAAAACAATCCCATTAGATTCATTGCTGTAGTCCTTCCTGAACGAATAATGCAATATGATGAATAAGCCCAGACATTACTCTGGCTAGTACTCAGAAGAGCACTGGACATCTGATGTGTCAAAACAATTTACTCAATCGCCAGAGCATAACAGTGCATGAAAACCTTTGTTTATACGAAGTAGCTCCAAAGCGTTTAGAATTCCATATTTTCGAGGAACTCAAGCACAATTTGTTCAGTTTCAAGGTATCTTACCTGCGTAATGCCTACATTACACGACGGAGGTGTCATTTATTGTTTACTGCTCTTATATACACTGCCCATTTCTACTTCTCTTATCTACACTCTCCGCTGTAAAATGTATAGTCGCACTAAGAAAGGTAGACCCAAAATGCCATCTGAGTGAACGGAAGAAAAACAACACACGGCTGGACCTTCGGTCTAGAAAAAAAATATAGTAGCCCGAATTATTTTATTTTCATTATTATTTTTTGCCACGAGGCTCGAACTAAGTAACATCAGCTGTTATCCTGTTGTAATCATTAACAGGTAAGGCCTTGGTAATGATGCAGAGGATGGCAGTTACGCAACTGTTAAGAATTGCACAAGTACGGGCAAAAATACGCCACTATTTTAAGCACTCGCAAAGGCTTTTTTAAAATAAATTGTTGGAAATGTGTATGCAAAGCTAATGCAAGAAGCGAAACATAAGGTGCGTGTCTTTACTGATATTCAAGAGGTGCTATAAACGCTCCGTGCAGTGTGGTGTTCCAAGTAGCTAATTTCTTTTACGGTGCTTCTTCGTTTTAATGTGGAGAAATGTAATCTTTTTAAAATAGGCAAGTCATAAAAACGTACCTCATTACCAACAAACAGGCTTATTGTATGATTATAAATGATTTATTTTCTTTATTAATGCTAGGAATTTTATTTCCCACAACGGAACAGAATGAAATTTTTAGCAAGTTCGACGTTAAAGCGCATGCTATAACATGTTGACTATTTCGAGTACAGCTGGTTCAGCTGCTGGCCGAACCATAATCACGTGCATTCACGACTGGTAGTGCTTGGCGAGTTTGAAGTTTACTCTGACATCAATGTTTTCGTGCCAAATCGGCGTGACGAAACTCGCATCTCTTTCGAGCTACAATGAGAGACAAGGCAGTCTTGTATGCGTTCAGAACAAAATAAAAAATAAAATAATCATTATTACTGTTTGAGAGTAACTGCGTTTCATTACGGCGATTGCGTTAAGTACAGATTGCGTTTTCAAGTCAAAGCCTCATTTCGGGCCTCGACGAGTGCCAGATGACTAACTTAGCGTCTAATGATTCAGGTATTTTGATTTATTTATGAAAAATGCCTTATTAGGGTAGTAGATCTTAGTCTGCCATAATCCCATGACCTTGGCGCCGACAGGTCTGGCGTAGTTCGAGCGGCTGGACGCTCGCAGCCTATAATTTATTGTGTTTTGTGTATGTTTCATACTTGTTCAATGAAGACGTAAAACAGCGCCAAAAAAGGGAGGCAAGAAAGCGAAGTGGTACAAACAGAGCACTGACTCTCAACTGATTTATTGGATGAAAAAACAGATCGACAATCATCTCGGATCATAAAAAAACATCAAGTAACCGCCCCTCGCACGTGTAAAACATGCTCAGAAATGCAAACTCTCTGTCAAATAATGCTTCAAAATATAAAAGGCTTCTGAAATTTCTCTAATCATCCGTTGACTGTGTCGTCCTAAGATACTCGTTTTATCAAGAACGGGTTTGCAACCTCACCTATCACAGTGTACTGCCAAGTTGCATACTGGCGATGAACGTATACCGATAGGGCATGCTCTCTTAACCTCTCGTTCACACATCTACCGGTCTCTCCGATGTAAGCATTGCCACAGGACAATTTAATGTTGTAAACTACACCGACAGCGCATGGCACGTACATTGCCTTGTGGTTCTTCCCACATACAGGACTATTAACCCCACTCCTGTCGACTTTAGCGCAAAGTCGTTCTAACTTCAAAGGCCCCGAAAAAAAAAACTGCTGGCACTACATGACGTTCCGCTACTTTTTTTAGGTTGTTCTAGAGTCTAGACCTTATAGACATCAGGTCTCGCACAGCATCAAATGGATTTCATGTCGTTTCGGGCGATTGTCACCCAGAAAGGTCATTGGCAGGTGCAAATGGCGTCCTTTCTGAAAAAGACGCTTTCGCTCCTTCTTTTGCAAGACCCTTTCCGGGTATGCAGTTTAGCAATAGTTGTTGCTTTGCTAAGGGAGGGGAACCAGGGCGCGTGTGGTGCAGTGTTCCTTTTTTTTTTTGACATCGAGGATTAGCTCTATTTTATACCTCAACACGAGATGATCGTCGCGGTAAACGGCTGCATTGAGGGCTTACGGGATAGTTCGTTTCAAAATGCCTGTGAAGTGAGCGCCGACATTTTTTTATATTAGCTCTGTTTTTATCTCAAATCAACGTACGTCGTCTACGACGGTTCCCAGTTTCTGCAGAAGCAGGGAGTTTGTATCGTCTCTAGCGTTGCCTCTGTGCTGAGGGACATTTTACTTTCAAGTTGCGATACAGGCATTGCATGCGATCTTGGTGGTGATGTGATCCGGGTGTTTAGATACGTCGATGATGACCTGGTACTGTTCCGGAACGAAGGTTCTGCTAGAAGTAGAGGGTTTTTACTGGGTGTATGTCAGAGGTGTTTACGTCACATGCCTGGGTGTTGAACTTCACGAGAGAGGACCCAGTGGATTGTTGTTCATAATCTTACATATAAAACTTCACTTTTTGAATGGACATGTGTGCTGGGGTTATAACCCTAAAAGTAAACAAAAAGTGTTCTCCCCTTTGACTCTAGCCATTCTAAACTGGTGAAGCGGGGGATTGCGGTGGGTTGCCTTGGGGAGACACTGGTTAAGTCAGGCCTACGCCGCATGCCTACTAGTTTTGCTAATCAGGCTACTAGGTTTCAGGACGGTGGCTGCTCATATGGCTTGCTGACTGGTGTGGAGGAAGTCCTAGTAAGAGGGCTTCGTGACCCGTGTAAGGTTGCCAGGAAAAGGCCAAAAAGGAGACCTATGGCTTTACGTTTTTGCTTAAGGTATCGCACAACCCAAACAAAAATAGCGCAACGTCATGGTGTGCCAGTGGCTTTTTTGGTGCCTTTGAAGTTAGGGGGTCTTTGCGATAAAGTCTGCAGGAGTACGATTAATAGCCCTGTTTGTGATAACAACTTCTGGGCAATGTACGTGCCATGCGCTGTCGGTGTAGTTTACAACATTAAATTGTACTGTGACAATGTTTACATCGCGCAGACCGGGAGATGTATGTACGAGAGGTTAAGAGAACATGCCCTATCGGTTAGATCGTCGCCAGCAGGCAAATTGGCAGTCCACTATGATAGGTGCGGTTGCAAGCTCGTTCTTGATAAAATGAACATCTTAGGACAACACAGTTAACAGATGACTAGAGAAATTTGAGAGGCATTTTATAATTCGAAGCAAAAAGAAAGGTGCGTCAGTTCACCTTTTATCGCATTATTTGACAAAGAATTGGCATCCTTGAGCAGGTTTGACACGTGCGGGGGGAGGTGGCTTGGTGTTTTTTGATGATCCGAGATGCTTGTCGATTTGTGTTTTCTTCCATTGAATCAGTTGAGAGTCAGCGCTCTGTTTATACACTTCGTCTTCTTGTCCTCCGTTTTTTTTTTTTTGCGCTGTTTTACTTCTTTGTTAAATGTGTACCACCATCTTGTCCACCTTTCTACCATATTATGGTCATACAACCGGAAATTAGTCAGCTTAAATGGCCGTGTGGTGTCCCAGCTGTAGATGAGCAATTTAGCCAGTGCAGTACAAACGCCAGCACAGGGTCTTTAACGTCCACCACGGAGTAGTGATACACGACCGCACGCCGGTACGATGCTCATCCAGATCGAAACGGGCAGGGGTGACGATCTAACCCAGGATCCATGGGTTCTGGAGTGCTTGCAGCGTCGCGGTTTCCCTTTTGAACTCGGAAAAGTGGCAGCCTCCACCAATCACCACGGACACCCATGGAGACAACCGAGACAGCCGTCTCTGCTGTCTTGCCCAATCCCGTATCTCAACGCGCCAGTGGCCGCTCTTTACCTCGGAGTTGCGCGAAAGTGCGACAGCGTAGGCAGTGCAAAGCGTATGCATTCTGCTGCACGCTGAGTGTCAACACCCCTAGAAAACGGCATATTTAATACCACTTAGATTACCAGGCTTTCGCATGACTAAGTTAGTGGGTCCCGGCCAGCCCCAAGCGGCGAAGGCGCTGAAGTTTGACTAGAGTCGTTTTAAAGCGGCTGACACGTACACCTTGGCGTCGATGCGTACTAGCACCACGCTCGTTGTGAGACGCTGCGAGACGCGCTGACAGATGCTGACGCAAGCCAGGCGGATCCACTAGTGATGACGTTTGGCGCAGCCTTGCCCTCTAGGTGCTATTGATATTGTGCTGCAGGCGCGCTGTCTAATACACCTGAGCGGAGTATTTGTTTAGGGTGCGTCGTCTCTTTCGGTGTAGACCAAACATGTACTATCGGGGAAAAATGAAATGCGAACAGAGGAGCGCGTGGCTCGCGGTACAGGCTGCGCCGCCTGGAAGTGAGCCTAGGGAGCGAGGGTGCGTGGCCTACTCCGACGTGTTCACGCCTCTCCCTCTGCGCTCTCCAAGCTTCAGCAGTGCGCCTCTTCGTGCGCTGAAAGCTATCACCACTATCTTTGCTGGCTCAGCGCGTGCGGTGCAAAGAAGCTCGCCGCGCTCGCTGAGCAGGCAAAGATAGCGGTGACAGCTTTCAGCGCACTGAGAGGCGCACTGCCGAAGCTGGGGGAGCGCCAATCGAGGGGCGTGAACACATCTAAGTAGGCCACGCACCCTCGCCCCTAGGTTCACTTCCAGGCGGCGCAGCCTGTACCGCGAGCCACGCGCTCCTCTGTTCGCATTTCATTTTTCCCCGATAGTACACGTTCCCCAAGAAAGTAACTAGATACCATTACTTGTTACTCGCTCGAAAAGTAACTGAATACGTTACTCGTCACCGATTCTCACTCTCACCAAACCTCAAATGCAGTGAGTTACTTGTCTCGTTACTTTGACGACCATATGCAGAACTGCATTTGTTTCATGCTTTATTTCTTCATTTTCAGTAGTTGTTCCACTTAACCAGTAGCTGCCTCTCGAATTTTTCGTCGGTTATGTTTCTCCACTTCATTGAGAATGCGCCTCCGTCGACGCTGAAGCGTCGCTCTACTGACGCGCTCGAAGGAACGGCAGTGCTGTGCTTCAGGAAGAGCTGGTGAATCGATGATTCCCCTCTCTTTTGTTCTCTTTGCTTTTAAAGTTTTAAGCTGACAATGGGTTCTGTGCTTTACCGTGTTGGCAACCTTCGAGTTTACATTTTCGTCTGTAGACGATTATAGAAGGTTCAACCAACGAACTTTATTGTGTTCGCTGGGTGAAGGACATTCCCAGCTGTAGAGTTCGACTGACGTGTTCAGCAATAAACGTTGCTTTACTGTCATACTGCTTAGCAGTTTTTTTTTTTCGAATTCTCCATGCGCTTTTGTAGCGATAGACGCGTATTCAGGTTAGAATTAACGCGAGGCTGTTTAAACGGCGTTCTACACGCTACTCATCTAGAGTAACGAAATACCCTTCGTTACTCATTACTTGGCATTAAAAGTAACTAAGTACTCAACTCGCTCTTTTTAAAAAAAAGTGATTAAATACGTTTCTCGTTACCGGAGAAAGTAAGTAGATAGGAGCCGCTCGTTAGTAGTAACGCGTTACGTACGGTGCACCCCAAACTTAACGCCGCCACGAGATGGTCCGATTTCTTCACTTTTCGAGCTATTCCTGAACATAGCGGTCGAACGAGTTCGTAAAGATTTACGTCCCCGATGGAAACCCAACCAGGGGGAGGTGTTCGAGCAGCTGCAACGACCAATTTATCTTTGGATACCGTGAAATAGCTCAATATTTGCGTAAGCGAGTGGGGGCGTTAAGTTTGAGGGGCACGTACATGTCTGGTGCAGACCCGGCGACGGTGACGAAGATCAGCAAGTACGCCATGGTGGGCACCGGCGAGAACGCGTCCTTCGAGTGCGTGGTGGACGCCAACCCGCTGACCGAGGACGTGATCCGCTGGCGGCGGCAGGGCTTCGACATGCGCCGCCGGACGCGCGTGGTGCTCGAGAAGGGCCGCTCCTACCTGACAGTCTACAACGTCAGCGACCTGGACAAGGGTGCCTTCGAGTGCGTCGCCCATAACGGCCTCGGAGAAGAGTTTGTCCGGTCCACGCTGCTCATCGTCAAATGTAAGATACGCTACTCCAACCAGAGCGTCTGGAACGCGTCTCCTACCAGCGCGTTTACCACTTCCTAAAATGTGGTCCCTCAATTTTTGCCTGATGACGTCACAGAAGTGTGATTTTGTCGACCGCTATCCTGGTGGTCTCACGGCAGCGGTACTGAATGTGGTAGAAACCTGCACCCCTGAAGGTTGCTCTACAGCTTGGCAGATCACAGAAGCTTCACCATCATGGAATTGAGACGCTGCGACGACAGCGATACTTAAGTTCCCTCCTGTTTTGTTTCCCAAAATATCTACGTCCAATCGCCAGGATGGCAGCATCCAGCCGCATTACTCACGTCATTCGTTGCCACTTCGGGACCCCTTTCAATGTGTGGGCGGTTTGGGATGCTAAACACACCAGTCGGAGACGAGTTTCAGGCTCCGTACTGGAACCGTCTTCGTTTAAAAGGATAATAGTGTTTTTTAGGGAACCGTTTTTGCACATCCGAAGCGGTGCGATGGGCCCTCCGGTAGAAACTGCGTATGCGCTACCACAGAAGACTCACATATGCGCAATATGTACCGGATGGCCCATCGTAGCTTATCGGATGTCCAAAACCGGTTCTCTAAAACTTTTTATTATTTTACCTACAAATCACCGTTTCCCAACAAGTTCGCGTGGTCACGCCTATTCTGTAGTTCAAAACTCACTAGGGGTGCATAACTTGCTCACTGAATAAATCAGCGAGCTGCCGTGCAAGTTTTGCGGCAGGGTGCTGGAGCAAATGTATACATTGTACGAGTCAATGAGTCTGTTGCAACGCAATTCATTAAGAACACCAGTCGTTTGACGGCCTTTAATTGATTAAGTCGATGAGAAGCAATCGGTCTCATGGTAGTATTGTCATGAGGTATCAATGTCCAAAGGAAAGGGCGTCTTTAAAACTGAAGGACTAGTGTAGCACTATTGTGCTCGTTTATCTCGAGGGATAAACATCAAAGCTATTATAATATTGTTCCAAGTCAATGGTGGCTGACTATAAATGTAAAAGCTTATTATAGTGTACGCTAGGAAAATCATTTCACAAACGTCGATACGGGCTCTCATTTTATACGTGTTGCTTCACTTGGTAGGTAAGTTGCTCGCCAAGTGAATGCCCGAGCTCTAAATATTGTTTTGCGCCATGTTACCGGATAAAATGTAAATCTTCGCTTAGCATCGGGTCACATGTTTGTGAAAACTTTGCAATGTACATAATGTGTATAGACGACAGTTTTGAGCTCTAGCTGTCATCTCCCTTGGAATCCATAACCTAATGCAGCTTCCGGAGTGTGTGTGTGAACCTATTGTCACGCAGTGTAATGCACGCCAAAAAAAAAAAAAAAAATACAGACTTGACAAACCCCGCCAAACGGTGAAAGCAAAGGCTACTAGGACGTGTACGTATTGCTATAAACAAAGCCTGAGGCAGTTGGTTTTTGGTTAGATAAACTAGTTTTCGATATAATCACTTTACAATCAGAAAGCATGAAACACGATTCAGTTCGTATGTACGTGCGGTGCCTTTATTTATTTATTAATTTAGTTCTTTATTTATAGGTTCGAAAGCGAATTTTGGTGCGCACTTTCGTTTCCTTAGCCACCCACTATTCCTTCACCCGAACGGTCCCGGTCACTAATGTAACAAAAACTGGAAGGCTCTATTCCTTGGCAGCGGATAATCCGCTTAGCTCTGCTTGTCGATTAATGAACGCAAAGGAGCCGCGCCGCATACCTGGTAAGTAGGTATGCAGGAAAAGAAAAACACCGCTGCAATCCGCAACCGCTCCCTAACTTGACGCGTCAAATGGGGCACAAGGAATCGGTCCGACGGGGTAATCCCACTCAAGGTAGAAGGATCATTCCGTTCACAGCCGGAATCTGCCGTAGCACAGAGAGATATCTGGATCAACGACATTGCGGAGGTTACGCATGCAAGAAGGAACGTCTGAGATTGTACATCTCAAGCGTCCTCTTATTTACCTGGCGCTTCAAGGAGCGTTAGACTGGAGGTCGTTTCTTAGAGTGAGAACATCTCAGGGAATTAAAAAGAACAAAATTAGGTTGAACGCCAGAGGCTACGTGTTTCTTATAACTATTGTTTGGCGTGAACTTCACGCCGCTCGAAAGGAGTATCGAGGCCTTATTTTAGTGTGTCTTCTCGCTGAGTTCATTAGCATGCCCCTCACTTGAAGTGGAGTAAATATATGCCCGCTTTTTATTAATATTTAAACTTTGAAGCTGTCACTTACACTCGACAGCACGTCCATGCAATATTGCCCCGAAGAACAAATATTCTAGATAATAAAAAACAGCAATGAGGCATAAATATTTTAACTTTCTGATATTGAGCTTCCGGCTCTTGCGCACGAATTTATAAAACAAAAATTTTTAGCGCCTATATATTTGGATTTTTAAAACTAAAACATGAGAATACAAAGAGCGGAACAAAAAGCATATTATCTAGGGAGCCTATTTATCATGGCAGCCGCCGCACAATTTAGAGCGCCGGCAAGCTTTGGAGCATTGCTAGTTAGGCAAGGCGATTACTTCACCTGCCCCAAATATTCAGCACAGTACCCCCTCCCTCACACTTCCTCATCGGCTTTACTCAGAGTTTGCTAAAATTACAACCATATATTTTTTTCTTTTACATAAAGGCTTCTGTTTAATATACGGCGGATAGTGAATGAATGGGCTTAATATACGGGGTGCATTTTATACCAGAAGTAAGATTGGCAAGACAGAAACACGCGCAAGGTCTGAGGCACGTCTGAAATGATTTACTATTTCTGTATATTCACTCGTGGGTATTTTGGTGGAAGCAAGTTAGACTTGACGGACCGATTTATCAGCGCTTATACTCCGAGCGGCTGTGTTGTACCGCACTCTACAGTGCCGTAACGTGCGAGACCTACACAAGTGCGCGCAATCGGCCGCCAGGGAGCAGATCCGAGCCCCATGGGAAATCATGCCTTGATCGTTTCTGGGCCTTCTGCCAAGCCGAGGAGACAAATGAACCAGTGGAAATACTGGCTGCTCATGTGCTCGTAAACGTTCCTTAGGTTTGTATAGAATATGGAAACCTTCAAATACCGCAGTGGAGCGTCTTGTTTATATTTTTTAAGTTGCATTCGAACGTTTCCATGCTGGAGTCAGTTGCAGTGGACTACACACTGCGTTTAGAAGCCGGTGTTATATCTCGTTGTAAAATTTATTCTTTTTTAATATAATCATTTACAGAAGTTCCTGAGCGCTAATACAACCACGGTGCATTCTAATTGCCAATTATAGTTAATTTCAGAAGGACGTGTGAGGCATTTTCCAAGTGTCATACTTAAGTATTTCCTAAGAATCCACCAATGCTTTTTTTTTTACAAAGTATTTAAGGTAATATCTTTCAACTAAAATTTATGTTGCGTGTTAGCCTTGCATGGTTGTTCTACACTATGTTCTTGTTTTTTTTTCTCGATTATATGCTTCACACGATCCAACCAGCTCGACCCCCCATTTCGTTCATAAATTGACTCTTCATTGCTTAAGCAAGAATCCCCTGGGTCAGACCGCGAACTGTTTAAAGCATTTTTGTTTGACATAAACGAATCCCACTGCACAGCACGGAAACATTTTGCAGAAGGTACGCCAATATATATTTTCGAAGTTTGTTTTAAGAAACCGCATCGTCTATGTGGCATATGTAGGCGGATAATTGACAATGCATGCAAAAAAAAAAAAGAAGCAGACTGTTATAGCTGCAGGAAAACAGGCTACCAACCGATCAAAAAAGGATTCAACGTTCTCGTCTATGAGGACTCACTAGGCGCCATATTTGAGGGCGTTGTTCACGGTGCATGCTGCGAGCTCTCAGAACGAGTCCCACTTAACTTTTCAAAATAACTACAGTCTTGATGGTGTAAACTGAAGGTTGCGGATTCATTGTCAAAGCCCATCATCCGCTCGCGCTGAATGGCAACTGAATCAACTATGGCCGCAAGTGAATACAACCTATGAGGAGTATTCAGTGACGGTCATGGCTGTGCGCTTTAAGGTCAAGCGCGTGCTGACAGTGAGCATTCGCGAGGTTCCCTTCGCACTGCTAAAATTCGGAAAACAGACTTAAGACTGCTTAAGTGTAGAAATGCGAAAACATTCCTACACGCAGCGCGCCACGTCTTAATTTTTCCGACGGCGCTCCGGCGTGACATTACGCTCGCATACTGCGCAGGCGCGGCGAACCCCACCGGCTTTATGACGGCTTCCACGACGATGCGTCTGCGTTGCTGTGCTTTTCTTTGTGTTTTATTTCTGAGGCGCGTCCGCTTTGGCCTTGAGCGGCCTCGCCGGCTTCCGTGACGAAGCATCCGATATTACGCGTCGCAGCCAATAGGACTTTAAATGCCGTTTCGCTCAGCCAATGGGCATTTAGGTGCCGTTTTTTGCTGCTATAGACAACGGCTACAGACTCCACCGGCTTCGTTCATGGAACGATTAATGCTTTCGCATTAAAAATGGTATTCATGGAAAATGATATGTTGCCTTCCCCACAGCTTGTGCTGATGACCGCATGTGAACAGTACGTTTACGCTCAGTGGAAACCACCCAACGTTTTCAAACCGTCTTGAAAACGTTTATTGGCTCTCCTATGGTCAACTAACCACGATTAAATGGAACATTGCTCTCCTTGCAGTCAAGGCCGTGATGCACAGCCCACGGGAGCCCCTGACCACGGTAGCAGCTGACGTGGGCCGGTCCCTGCGTCTGTCGTGCTCGGCCGACGGTGCGCCCAAGGTGACCTTCGTGTGGACCGTGGAGGACGCGGTGATCGCTGAGACCGCCACGGGCGGCCACCGCCACGCCATCCACGTCGAGCAGCTGGACGTGCTGCGCTGGGAGTCCGTGCTTGTGGTCAAGTACGTGCACGCGCAGGACTACGGCCAGTACAGCTGCACCGCTCGGAACGAGCTTGGTTCGGACTCGGCGCGCTTCAGAGTGCGCCCCAGAGGTAAGCGTCTCTCGGACCATGTGTGAGCGCTCTCAGAAGCCCTTCACTCCAAGATATCTGGATCATCTGCTCTCCCGTAAAGCACTTTAGAGGTCCAATCGCAGTAATCTATAGAGAGAGCTCGGCGCATGACGAAGCTAATAAAATGTTTGCACCTACAAAAAGAGTCTGAACTACGGCATTGAGCTCGGTGAAACGCCCTGCCCATTGCCATAGCTTAGCCCGATTCTTTAATGCGACAGCATTTTTTGAACTGCGTTCACCCTTAACCTCACAGTACAGCAAATGGCACAATCACGAGAGCTTCAGGTCAATTTTTTGAAGCGTTCTTCCGCAGAACTTGCACTCGCGCTAGAAATGCACGTCTCAATGCCAGGAGTGCGGGTTAGCTCGCGCTTGTAGCATTGGCTGCAAGCGGTTCTGTATTTGAGGAGAACACTTAAATCGTCTTGATTTGGCGCCCAGGATCACTAATATTAAGACTGTTTTAAAATTTGATAAGCGGAGGCTGGAGAAAATATTTCTTTTAAAGCACCGTTGAAGCACCTTCTTCCCAGAGCGTGACGTCAGGAATAGAATTTTGGGAATTTGCGCTCGGCGCATCTTCAGCGCCTATCAAAGCTTTGTTCGCGCACTCTCGCTATTTTCACAAAGGTCAGAAAAAGACGTCACAACTGATGTCAGTGCGAGGAAATGTAGCTGGCAAGCTTGGAATCGCTCGTGCTGTCCACACCAGCGACACGCGCTAGGCGGCCGAAGGACCTGTGTATGACGCAACGACTAGTCGTAGGGTTGCCGTGTTTTCTCGCGTTTAGTTACATTCGGGAAAAAACGACTTTGATATTCAGATTCATTTGATAAAATACTCTAGAATTCACCTCTAACTTGTATTTTTTTATTTTCAAGGTACTCTTTAGCTTAACTTTAAGGGTGATTGCAGTATAGCTACTTCAACTGATTTTTGCGATATGGTATTTGGGCTCGAATGCGTCGTACGTATGCGCGGCTCGTATGCGGAGGCGCCGTGCTTGCCCGAGGCTCCTCCGAATACGCAGGCGCCGCGCGCATGCAGAACGTCGCCCTCGACGTTATTCTAGAGGTCATCCTTGAGGTCGTCCGAGGGGTCGTTCTAGACGTCGTTCTTGAGATCTTCCTAGAGGCTGTCCTTGAGATCGCCCTTGATGTCGTTCAAGAAGTCGTTCTAGACTTCCTCTTTGACGTCATCATCTAAGACAGTGGTTCTCAACCATCGATGTTTCGCGGACCCCTTTTTGATTGGTGGAGTTGATGGAGGGCCCCGTTCGTGGTGAGCGGAGGGGAAAGGTATTGGGTAAATATAATAATGATTTAATAAAAGGATATAACTAAGGGCTAGTGTCAGGTAGACCTTTGTTTATGACACACACACGAGAAAACTCGCCCGAAAACTAAAACAGTTCTTCTCGACCCGAGAAAAGACAACGTTTATTGCCGGAGTTTGACTGATGAGGCAGGGCTTCGCGGACCCCTAGATTGCCTTCATGGACCCCAAAAATTCCGCGGACTCCCGTTTGAGAACCACTGATCTAAGACTTTGTTCACGACGTCCTCCGAGACGTCCTTCTTGAGGTCGTCCTTGGGTTCTTCCTACAGGTCGTCCTAAAGGTCAGTCTAGACGTCGTCTTTGAAGTCGTTCTTTAGGGTGTCGTTTTTGAGGTCGTCCTTGAGGCCCTTCTTGAGATTAGCCCAAAAGGTCGTCCTCGACGGCGTCCTAGATGGCGTGCTAGACGGCGTCCTTAAGGTCGTCCTAGGGGTCATCCTAGACATAGTCTTCGATGTCGTCCTCGACGTTGCCCTACCAAGCAGATAAACACGCGCTGCACATACAAGGAGCGCTAGTACGCACACGTTAACATTTGCGCCCGAGCTACGACGACATTACTGATTTGAGTTGCGCTAGTGGGTACGCGGTAAATGTTGGTGGTGAAACAAGCTGATCATTAAACGATTTCACAGAGCCAGGAAAAGACACACACACGGAGATGAATGATGGTTGTGAAACAGCTTGAATGTGGAAAGATTAAACAAAGACGAAGCAAATACTCAATTTCAAAATTGCGCGTTGCAGTCACACCGATGTCAATTATTGTGTCGTAAACCATTCAAAAAATGTTTACCCAAAAGTGCAGTCGTCGTCGTATTCACAGTTAGCTCATGACGAATGCTTTCGCAATTCATAGACATCCAACAATAGCGGTTTCTGCTGCAAAGTTTTTTTTCTACTGCGATAGCAGTTATACCTCGTCTCACCCTACGATGGACTAAAGGCAAAAGCTACGAACCGCCAGATCCAATCACGAACCACTTAGAAATTGTGCGTTATTTCGCTTCGATGCACGTATCGGGGCCCGCGTTTCTGATCACTGACGAGGGGACGGGTGGACAGTGGTTCGAATGGGAAAGCAGTGAGTGACTCAACAATTTTACATCGCAAAGAAAGCTACGACATATAGACTCTTTGCAGCGTCGAAGCTACAGAAATAATGCGGCGCTTTTGGATTCGGAGCATCATTCGTCCACCCCTAATCAATGTGAAGCGTGTCATAGTATAGCGTGGAACGTGATTGGACCTGGCGGCCTGTGGCTTTGGCCTTTAGTCCATCGTAGGATGAGATAAAGTATAGTGGGACACACCGCGGCTTTCGCGCCGACAACTGCGCTCCATGTCGACGCCGGCCATTTTCGACACTCAACCAAAAAATACAACAATGACATTGCCCCGCTAAACACGACTCTGATGTTACGTCGCTCATCCCGTGACCTGTTACCTGGTGTCAGCTGACACCATGACGTGACATGATAATCTCATGTGAAACCGTAAGTCACCTGATGCCGTGACGTCACGTGACACTGCAACGTTACGAGATAATACGTGGTCATGTGACAGCATGACGCCATGAAGATGCATAAACATGGGACATGGGACTGCTCATAATGGCAACCATAAAAACAATGCGCTTCCGCTAATTATGCCGTTCTCGGGCGATCAAACGAATAAAGGTAGGGGGGGGGGGGGGGGGTAAAGCCGGCGAATCCAAGGGCGTGAAACCAGGTGGAGCTAAACGCTTGAAACTGAGTGCGCAATTTTGGAAGTGTTTTTCGAAGACAACAAAGCAATGGTAGTTTGTGTCCAATAACATCGCCTAAGACGTCTATGCAGCCACACCAGAGACAGGGAACGGTTCATGCATGCACACGTAGTTTCACTGTTCCCCGGATTTTAAATTTGTGTGCGCGATTTTCGAAGTGTTCGCCAATTACCACTAGAAAAGCCTAGTTTGTGTCCAATAAAATTGTTTGACCGGCTAACAAAAGGCTCTTTACCCTCATTGATTCCAAAATGTTATGGAATTTTTGTCCGGTGTGTCACTCTGTTTGATACAAAAGGGCCCATGCGAACTCTGTGGTGCGGTGTCGCGCCTTTACGGTTGATTTAGTCTATATCGGCTCCGAAGCGACACCTTAGCTGCTCCGAAGTCACATCTCAGCTGTTGCAATGTTTCACCTTACGGGAAGCGTAAGTGTTTATAAATTTTTTGGATATAGACGTGTTATTACCCTCCTCATTCTCCAAGCTCACTCTGTAGATTGTGGCGATTGGCTCTCCAAAGACATTTGCAGGGCATTAGTCGCTCTCGATTCTTTAGAGTGTTTGCATTATGAAAATGATAGTCTTGGAGCACTGATGGGTTGTCCTCCATGTACTAGCTGACATAAATTATTCTTGAATGCTTCGGGATTACGCTATAATTTTGGAGCAATACACTTGTGCCAAAAGGGAGGACGCTTTTTTTAACTGGGTCTTCATGATCACCGGAGCGTGATTCCGCTCCACCATCCCATTTGCAGTAATGTGAAAAAAGGTTACTTTTTATACTTTGAGTTCATCGCGGCGTTCTACGCACTAGGAAACCTCCGATAGTGTGTACTGTCGTTCACAGCTTAAAAATGAAGAGAGTAGCTAATTAGGGTGGCCTCCGTTTGTTTTGATTGACTCTCACGTGTTTTATTACGCTGAAGTGGCAATCCCCTCTGTTGAGAATAAGATGACTAAATCTGCCCGCACTATGCACTCTGTTATAAATTCATTGGTGTACACAGCTCCTGTGTGCACCTGAAGGAGCCAATTAGATGCTCAAGGTGTAGATCGTGCCTGTAGCCAAGCCGTCTTTGTAACAAAATGGCAGTCACCGTTCTCGTCAATAAAACTTTATTACAATTGCACCCTGCCACCAATCGCCTTGCCTTTCAGACTAACTCAACTGTCTATATGAATCCTGACAGTTAACCTTGGGAGCGCATAATCATGCAGAATACAATCTGCGACATCTGAGAGCGCACTGTCGCTAGAAATATGGCCTCAAACGGAGCTTCATGCTTCTTTCGCCTGCCTGCCAGAATTTGAGAGAGTTTTGAAAGAATTTGAGGAGTTAAGAGATAATAAAACTATCGTGAACCGCGGGCTCAGAAAAAGGCCGGATCGGATTTTCATCTAATATTGTGTCCTCGGGGGTACACCAGCTTCCCTCGGAACGCGATGCTCCTCTTCACTGCCTCGGTGTCCGCAGGGAAGCCCGACCCTCCGGAAAGCATCCGCGTACTGAACGCCACCCACACAAGCGTGCTGCTCTCCTGGACGGCCGGCTTCAACGGCGGCCTGGACCAGCAGTTCCGGATCCGGTTTCGCAGGACGGAAGATGAGACCAACGCCTACGACTACACGGACCTCATCCCGGAGGACGTTTCGCTTTACCTGATTGGAGGACTCGAGCCGGGCACCGAGTACGCTTTCAGCGTCCTCGGAAGAAATGCCCTGGGAGAGAGCGAGTACAGCGAGGACTCCGAACCGACCTCCACGCTGTGTAAGCCCGTTTATCATATGTACTTGTTACTTCGCAATGCTCCGTTACGATCATTATTGGCGAGGAGATCGAACAGTCACGCCTCCACCGGCACGCTTCAGCTGTGGGGACAACAAACGGAATTTTCTTGTTTGCTTTTGACCAGCGATATCGAAGATGACGATTTGAAGGCAGCTCCTCGTGCGACCAAAGCGCCGGTAAGAGCGAATCGCTCGTGTTCAGACCACGCATGACGGGGTTTGATTTCTTTGTTGTGTTGTGTTAGTAAACACCCGGCTGTGGGGACAACAAGGTCAATAATGCGCCCCCTATAGTTCAATCTCCTGGCCAATAGTCACTATTCACTATCCCTATCTGCCACGATCGGATGGATTTAATCAATCAGCATCAAAACTGCATCGTCAAGGCACTCGTTGTCTTCGTACGTTCGGTTGTTCTGGCTGAATTAATCACGCACAGCGAATGGTCAGTGTTATATCGCTTTTTTTCTTCCTGATTGGTTTTGCCGGTAATAAGAAGCGCACAAAGACAATGAACAACATGGCGGCGCACGTTAGCGCTATTTATTGATTTCATTCGATCGTAGTGTCGGCTGCGCTTGGACCTAGTGCGAAACGAAGAATAATGGCGTGTGAATAAGGTCTCGAATCGAACAACACTGCGTCATATTTACCTTTGCCTGTGCAAGGAAAAGCTACCATGTACCGGCAACCTTTACAGTGTCGAAGTTAGAGATGACACAACGGTATTCATCTCCGAAGCAATATTCGCCAATCCCCACACTTTACTAAGCAGCGTGAGCACTGCATTATCATCAACAACCGTGTCGCACCCGTGATTTGTGCAGCATAACCAAATGTGTGCAATGTTGCGCGAAAGCGACGCCGGAAAGTTTACTGGAACATGAGAGTATTGTGGTCATGCTCAAATTTCTGAAATGAAGCCCGGGCCTTGATACTTCTTTTACAAGTAACGACAACCAATACAAATGACAAAGCACATTCTGCTGGAACAAAAAGGCGGTATTCAGTTCAAACCTCTGCTCTGCGCCGCCATTCGCCTCCTAAAATCTGCAGCGTCACGCACTCGGCGCTTCAAAGGATGTCGCTACTTGTAGGAAGCTTTATCTAGGGAGTTTATTATGAAAGACTGCAGACCGGCTGCTGTGGGGAAAAAAGGTTGCGTTGTTGCCGTTCGTTTGTACATGAGTTCAGTTATTTCATTGCTTAGACGTTTACTTACACCGAGGGCCTTCAAAATATTTATTTAAGGGGCCGGATGGGACCTGTCATGATCTCGATGTCTGGAAGACAAATTAGAACCGGGGAAACACTAAATGAATGATCATTAGTAATCATTTCAATACAAAACAAAAATTAAACCAGAATAAAAAGTCAAAACTAGATGCGAAGTGCGAATACATATACTTTTTGTAATACAATATTAACTAATGATGGCATTGCAAATCATGTTAAATTATAAATCGAAGCGCAAGTAAACTACGGCTTATTCAGACAGGGCAAAACACACCAGACTGGAACGTTTGATGTTGAAAATACGCATGAATCATGACGCAGGACACTAAGCACAATATAGATGAGAACACAAAGGAATTTGATGCAATATACACAAATATAAATCAGGAAACCAAGAACTGTAACATTGGCAATGGCATGTAGAATAACTAATATGGCGAAAGACCCACGTTTTCGTGCACCAGTTTTCTCTTATTCATTCTATATCTTCGTTTGCACTTTTGGTGTTGGTCGCGGAGTAGTGTTTTCTGCGCGCTCTCATTTCGGCATTTCTAGCTGCGGGCCGAGGACCGGGCGTTAACAAAAAAAAAGAAAAAGAAACGCGTTATTTGTGGATTGGCAGGAACGCTTCCGCGGGCTGGGTCTGGCCCGTAGGCAGGGGTTTCAGACTCCTGGCTTAGGCGCATTGTGCTTAGAAAAAGTGTTTTTATATCTTCTAATTGGGAAGAGTGGAGGTCAAAATGGGTGCCCTTTTCTATCGCCATGCTTTCCAAAAAAATATATATATAAACACTTCTCAAGGTGAAAATCGTAGTTGACATGTTAATACAATTCCTCGTGAAGAGGCAGTAGTAGCAGCTCTATTCTGCACCAGCGCAAATTCGTGTCAGGTACTTTACCTTGATCTTTTTACGTGTATCGTCATACTTTTCAGCGCCAAATGCACTAAGTTGAAGGTTTTAAAGACAAACACGCAACTATTTTTTTAACGTTGAGCTTTTGACGTTTTAGAAATGGTAACAAAATAAACTCTTTCCATGTTGTAACTTTAAGTGTTTAACTTTTAATATACAACATAATAAACTGAGAGAGTGTTTTTGATGAGCAAAAGATGGTTCGTTATGCGTGTGACTTGTTTGACATGTAAAAGCGGGAAACACAGCATCACGGGGCTTTATTCCACTCGTTTTACTCCTCGCCAATTTTTCAAATTAACCGCGCATGCACGTGGACGCGCGTACCAGCAAACAAGAGGCACAGAAACAACGAAATTTAATAATCAAGGTTTAACTCAATTTCGTGATGGAGAAGGTTGCGGAAGAAGGAGCTTTGCGCCTACGCCGTTATTTGATGTTGTTTGTAGTTCCAGCGTGTAAGGGGTACCGGGCGCTCGAGCGGGCTTCTCTCGTTGCAGTCGGCTGGCCCGACCAGGACGCCTCGAGTGCCATGATCGATGCCTTCAGTGGCCGCAAGGGGGAGGTCCCTCGGCTCCTGCTCGTGTCTGTGGCAGTCGTGGGCACGCTGCTACTGCTGCTCAACGCGGTGCTCGTCATCTGCTTCGTGAAGAGGCGCAAACGGAGGCAGCAGCAACTGACGGGTGAGGCCATGCACGTGCCAACTGCACTCTCAGAATATCTTACGCGGATACTGCACCGCAATGCGCTCGCGAGGTCATGTTGGCCGTTTTTTGCACATGGCCGCTTGATTCTGGCTAGCGCTCTGCTGGGAACGACCTGTCGTGTGGCTTTCTTCGCCGGGGGAAACGACAGTTCTTCGAGTTGCCGCAGTGAGTGTAGCGCCTGGTGGTGCTGACCAGCGGCCACAGTACCCAGCGGCGAAAGAGCGGGAGTGGCGCGAGACCCGAGCAAAGTAAAAGCATTACTCGTGTTGGCTTCGCTGTGCCTCCAGCGACGAACTCGAAAACTCACCTGGACCACTGTTTCTACGCATCCCTTGGCGAAGCGGCAGGTCTTGGTTTTTTAGGGTAAAAGCGCTAAAAACAACGGACAAGTAAAAGAAACGAACAATACAGAGCGCTACTTGCAACTGATGTTTATTCTCGGAGAACACACATATATATATATACGCCGTGAAATCGCGACATGTACTACAGGAATGCGACATCACCCAATCAGTATTCGTCTGTATGCTATCTACTTTACGAAAGATACTAAAAAACGCCATCTCAGAGCCAGACAGGGCTATCGATGGAGCGCTGACACACGTTCCTTCAACGCACTCGGTTATGAAAAAAAGCTTCGGATATCTCCCTTGTCATTTTGTTTCGGTTTCGGGCCAAGATAATAGTGTTGTCAAACTTCGGGACACACCTTCATCTGTCACAGTAAACAGCCAGATTTCCCGAGGGTGACAAACGAACTGACAGTGCATGCTCCCTGAGCCTATCATTTATACAACGTCCCGGTTGGCCTATGTATACTTCGCCGCAGGATAAAGGAATCTTGTAAACCACGCCCTCGCTACACTCCACATACCTGGTCTTATGTTTCTTCTGACAGACACCGACGCGTGTCTTCTCTCGTCCAACTTTTCCACACAATCTGCCCAGTTTTTGAGGAGCTGAGAGTAATACGGGAACCTCATAATTTTGCCCCGCTTTCTTTATATTGTGGCTCACCTTATGAACATAAAGTATTACAACTGGCCTACGCCTTGGCTTCTCTCCTACAATACCACATCCTCCCGGCGGCAAGTCGTTGCCAAGCGGCAGAAAACAAGCGGCTTTGTTTTCTGCGTGTTCTTTTTCTGGACAAAGTATTCATCGGGATATAATTATAATGCAATTAAATGCAAAGGTGCAAGCGAGCTGGACAAGAATGACGAAAATAATCCCTGGAAAAGGGGAACAAGAGGGACAAAGGACAAACATATATCTCCAAACACAGCTAGGTGACTGGTGAGGGACCGAAAAAATCCGCCTGGTCCGGGTATCGAACCCGGGACCTCTCCATTACAAGTGGAGCGCTCTACCAACCGAGCTAACCAGGGGTTAGACGTCAGTAGAGCAAACGGGTTTTATCAGCTGCCACTAGTCTAACGCCAACAAGGGTGAAGCTTGCAAATTTAAGGTTATAATTATAATGCAATTAAATGCAAAGGTGCAAGCGAGCTAAAGGTGCAAGCGAATTAAATGCAAAGGTGCAAGCTCGCTTGCACCTTTGCATTTAATTGCATTATAATTATAACCTTAAATTTGCAAGCTTCACCCTTGTTGGCGTTAGACTAGTGGCAGCTGATAAAACCCGTTTGCTCTACTGACGTCTAACCCCTGGTTAGCTCAGTTGGTAGAGCGCTCCACCTGTAATGGAGAGGTCCCCGGTTCGATACCCGGACCAGGCGGATTTTTTCGGTCGCTCACAAGTCACCTAGCTGTGTTTGGAGATTTATGTTTGTCCTTTGTCCCTCTTGTTCCCCTTCTCCAGGGATTATTTTCGTCATTCATCGGGACCTGCGTTCGACATAAATTAAAGATATTTTGTTTCCCGTTTTCTCCTTCAGTTTAGCTAATTAAGAGGGTGACCGGTATTGCGCCCCAATGCCGTATAGCCTCAGTGGCAAAATATGCATAACATTTTTTTTAATTGAATTTGAATTATCATTGAACCACGCCTCTGATCTCCCTTCTCGTTGACTAAACTGAGCCGAATAATTGGTGTCCAACCAAAACGTGGTTCAGTGCACAGTGAGGTGCAACTGAGACCGTGTGACTACCTGAACGCAAAAATGTTCCACAAGCTGGGACTGGAGATGAGAAAACAAATAACACCGACTTGACCTAATAAAAATAACAGTTAACATTAAGAAAATAAACAAAACTCAATTTTGTTAGGTCAAGTTGGTGTTATTTGTTTTATCATGACTGCCCCAAGCTTCGCGTTGTTCATTGTCTAAGAGAAGAGTTTCAGGATGTGGCTTACGTCATTCGAAGGTACTTCCAGTCTCGTTGAAGTACAACCCCTCTGCAGGCAGCGAAAAGGACTCCATGGGCACGGCTGCGGACACGCGGATGTACACACCTAGCAAGTATCACGAGACGATCAACGGGGAAGCACTGCGACCCCTGAGCGAGCACTCGCTTCCTTCCAATGGACGGGCGAATGGTCAAGAAGAGATAGCGATGAAGGAAATACCGGTGAGTTCTGCCGGGGACCTATCACACACTCTGCTAAAACAACTGACATTCACCAATATGTTAAGACACCTTAAACTGGGTTGAAAGAACCTTGAAACAGCCAAAAGCAGGAGAGACAGGGAAAGATGTCAGCCAGCATTCGCTCTGATATAGCACCGTAGGCGCAGGCCAGCTGGCGAGCTTGAGACATTGTGGAAATCCGAGGCAAAGTTAAGCTAAAGAGAGTGCTGATTTTTGTAAGCCGTATAGACTTCGCTTCACTCTTCGTTTACATCTATGCTACTTTTAGTTCGTACAAGAAATCTACAAAAGCCAAAATGTCAGTGACAGCATCGTCTTTTATAATCCGGCATTGGGCATGCCTGAATGAACCCTGATTTGTAGAAGCCGCCCCGCAAAATGCTTTGGGGACAGTTGGCGCCGCGAATGCGCATGGGTCCGACTATCCAAAAGAGCGTTGTTCGAGTAATTTCCTCTAGTGTGCCGAAATTTAAGAGTGTCGCCAACTACCCGATTAGGGCACATGGTTCATGGGCCGCATTTAAAATACGAGCCTCGAAGAGGTGACGAAAGCGTTGTTCGTTTGCAAAGGTCTCCGCCTCACCTTCCCGTTTTTCTCCTCGCACCTCGACAACGAAACGCATGCGCAGTTGCAATCATGCTTCAAGGAAGCCGTTCGCCACTTGGATTGCGAACGCTCTCCATGGTTTGAGTTGAACCGACTCTTGAATCTAGGCTCACTAATGTCCTGCCAGCGCCACTGCCTCGGAGCAACGAAGAGGGAAACCGCGCCAAAAGTACAGAGGACGAAGAACGAAGAACACAAAGACCGAGCGCTGTGCTCCTTCTTCTTTGTCCTCCATACTTTTGGCGCTCTTTTCCTCTTCGTAACTATGCATAACCAACTTGCCCAATTCTCGATGGTCGGAGCGACGTTCATGACGCAGAAGAGCACGACTTTTATTTCATGATCGCCCACTTTTTATGAAGTCCCCGAGCGATCTATATGACAATATTTGAAGCTCAAGTCCTTGAACTTGAATTGTACGATGTTGTTAGCAAAGCAAAAATGCGCGTGTGCTGAGACCGAGCGATGTCTCTCCGTAATGAGACGCAACAAGAACCACTGCCGCTGGCTTCCTCGCGAGGTGGCAAAATGACGTCACGTCGCCCCAATCAAACCAAGCTAGGTATTTGTTACGGGCTGAGTGACGCGCCGACAAAACGATGCGGTAGCGCACACGTGTGTATCTTGCCACGGTTTTGCTTTGCACAATAGTACGCGAGAGGTGATATCTCTATGGGTCTCGATATATCCGAAGTCTGTGAGATAGGAGTTTCGGCGGTCCACGTGTCGCACCTGGGTATGATTTCCCCCGAGTTAGTTTGTTAGTTTTACACTAAAGGAGAAGGTTCTCTGGTGTCGCCATCTCAAGCTCAGAGCGTATTATTCTTGGATTCCTTTTTGCAGATGGAGCAAAACACCTTGACGCCCTATCCAGGCCTCGGCACCTACGACAAAAAGGAACTCTCGCCGTCGAGTAAGCTAGTTTTTTTTTTTTTTTTCAAATATAATTATTGTAAAATTAATTTCGAAATCTTGAGTCCTTAATTGTTTTCTGCTTCTCTAATTTTGTAAAATTGAGTATTAATAAATATTCGGTCAAAATAACATAGTATTAGACCAGATGAGCTATTTGTGACAATGGAACCAATTAACCAAAATTACCTCTTTTGCTTTAATACTTGAATTGTCACACTGATAAAAGAACGTAAAGGCGAAATGAAATCTGCAATGACACCCCTCTTCTTACTGTTAGCTTAATACGGCATGACAATTTCGTAAATAATTTTTTTTAACCTCGCCTTTTGCACGTACTGCGGGGCTTTGATTCCTACGCATGACGTTTTTCGTACAAATCCACCATTCGTAACAGACACGGCTGTACTTTGATAAAAGTAGAGTAACCGTCTGTAAGGAAAAGTCGAAATTTTATTAACATCGTCCAACCAGGCGTGTAATGACAGGGCAATTATTTTAAACTATTGAACAAAAAAAAAACAAAAAAAACTACACATCTTAAGGGTATGGCAGAATTATTCAGGGAAGAGGTGTTTCTATTGCCAAACAATCAAAAGTTTTTAAATCTTGTTTTCAAAATTTGTCTTTGAGCAATGCATTTCTGTAAAAAAATACTCTAATCAATTCTGCTATATAGAACTGAATCTTACCGAAGAAAGCCTGCAGTAGTATAAATTCTTTTCATGCTGATCATATGCGCAAACAATGGAAATACAAATATCATTGCATTCGAGAGAGTTAACCTAAATTTGCAAGATCAAGGGTTTTTCTGGTTGTTTTTGTTTTTACTACGTCGCTAAGCGCTAGGCCGAAATCATCAACAAAATTATAGCAATATAACTGCAAAATAAAACTTTCATAAACACCGAAGAAAGATTAAAAAAACGCTGCGAGCTGGTGAATGATATCCTACGTCTCAGGGTTACTATGCATTTCATAAACACATTTGTTTTAATCCGTTACGGGAAAAGTTTTGAATGATTTATGCCTTGGCTCCTTAAAATAAAAAAAGAAATCTGAAGTGGATATCCCAATAATCTTGCGACGTAATTCAATTTCGCTTAGCCCAGTTAGCTGTTTGTCAGGTTCCCTTCCCACACCCGATCGCAGTTCACGCATTGACGCTGCAAACTTTTCGACACTCGGGAAACTAGAAAAAGCCATTGCACTCATTTTTCGTCTCGACGTAAAAACCAGTTTTTCCATTGGCGGGTTTTTCTGGGACCACTAGGCACATTTTCGGGTCATTGAACGTTAAGAACCATTTGTATTTACCTCGGATGCCTGAACATTTGTGGGAGACATATATATATATATATATATAAGGTATTAAGTTCGACTTGCTGTACGCTAGGGTAGGTTTGAAACCACAATCTATGATGAAAAAATAACTTGAGATTATTCCGTGAAAACTTAGTAGTTTTATGTGGCCAAATGTTATAATGTCAGATTACACAAGCTGTAACCTAAAAAAAAGAACGGAAAATTAATATTTCGGTATTTTCAGGTGATTTGCAGGTTCTATTGTAGTAAATTTAGCACAGCGGCAAGAAGTGTGAGTTTTCCCGTTCCCTACTAAAGGGAAGCTATGATGGTTCTGAGGGGCCACATTTTAAAAGTAGAAGCCCAAATATTAATCACCTCAGAAGTTCAGTTAATGCTAATTAGGAAAGAGACGCAACCGTGTTTAATGATAAAACAACACCTAAGCCGATATCTCATTGATCATGAGCGCAGTTGCTTATCGGAATTAGGCAAATTAGTGTAATCTTAATTTAAGCATAATTGCTGACTTTTATTCAGACGATAGTTATGAGAGACCTTTTGTTAAAAAATTGAAGAATTTTTGATAAGGCAAAACCTAGATTATCATTTTAGAAATTTTAAGCACACTTACATAGACGAGAGTCTGAAAACAGACCGTATAATATAGAACAACGCATATTGATATTTATGTATATTGACGTTATAATTATTATTTATGACTATCAAACAAGCTCCACACTTTTTTCTGCCTAAGACTAAGGTTGACAAGTTCTTCCTCTCCTTCTTCATCTCCGTCCGTCTTCTTTTCCTTCTTTGACGTCTTTCTCTCTAATCTCAGGATTTTAGTTCATCAAGCTCAGTTATGCTCCGTTTCACGATAACTTTACGAACTGTGGAGGCTACGGCCCCCGCGACCCAATAAGAGCGTCGGTGCAAGGCACATGATATCACGTCACGGGAGTGTTTGTGTCAATGCGCCAAATGCGAGTCCCGGAGGAACCGGCTGTTGTCTGCTGGCCAAGTGCCGTCTGCTGCGAACCCAACCAACATCGAATGAATGTCCACCACCACACTATTGCCGTCCGCTAGAGTAGCGAGCTCTTCGGGAACAGTTCATGAGACAACGATGCGCTCAATTAACCCGCGAATTTGTCGCGGGCTGTAATGCCAGAAGGACGTTAAAAGCGGAAGCGGTCGATTGCAGGGCTGCGATCGCTCAAGTATCGAAAAGTAACATGTGTTCGTCTTTCTTCCTTGTCGTGTAGCGTAGTTTCCATATATATGCAATCGCGTGAGTTCAATTGCCGTTAAAACAAGAAGCCTAGAACTACATTTTGTCTTGGACAGCGCTCCTATCTTGGCAGTAACAAGGCCTCCGTGGCCTCGACCATGGAGTGTTGTCAGACGTGCCTTGCTCCGAACAGTTGAGGCCGCAACCTCCACAGTTCGTCATGTTATTGTGGAATGGAGTATAGTTGGTGGTCGTTGTTCACGGAGCGTTTAAATAGTACAAGCGCTTTATGCTGTCGTGTATGTTCCTCTTTTGTCCTTGTCTTTTGCGCTGTTGTTATTCACCGTGTATTCCCCACGTCCGATACCAGTAACCATAAAAAGTTCGAATGAAGAGTGGCTAAGGCCCGTGGTTATGTAAGAATTCAGGATCTGCCCAGGCCACATTTATGCCATTCTTACAAATAAAGACTAAATGCTTAATTGATTCTGGCTTTGAGTGAAACATTCTTGCAAATGTAGTTTCTAAATGCTATTTCTTTTTTTGCTTCTTTTATGCGCAGCCTGTTCACCACTCAGCAGCGATGTCACATGTCAGAGTGGGGATAATTGCCCGGATCTACTAAAAACAAGGAAATATAACGAGTCGGTAAGTAGAGAGACACTAAAAGGTCACATGCGGGTTTTTCTTCGAAACCGGTAACGTGTTTGAACATGTTACCGGTTTGAACACGTTACCAGTCTGTCAAGAAACTTGAATTTATTGCGAGGTGTAAATTTTGAAAAAGTACACTTTTTCAACATGTGTTTGTATGTCACATAAATATAGACGTCATTTACATTGCCGTGCGTTCTCAGAAAACCATACAATTTACCTGGTGCACCAATCACAAGTATTGTTATAATCAGCATAGGCAGTGATAAGGGCGAGACCTAAAATACAATTGCTATTTTACCTTATGTGGCGAAGGAGCTTTTTCCACATTTTAACGAATACTGGAATAATTTGGAGGCATCATGACACTCACAACCTCCCTGAGAAGTTGAATTGATTTGTGTAAAACCAATGATTGGTGTTTGAACTGCATTACAATCAAGTATCCCCCACAAACGCCTTAGTGTACGCAGTGCGACATAGCTTCCACGAACAAGCGATTGACGGCTTTTATTGCATTTTTATACAGCTGACGCGTTCTCATCAAAACTACTTGTGAGATGAAAAGAAACCCCTTGAGACTCCACAATTTACGCGGCAAAAGTTTGTTTCTCAATACAGTGTATGAAGCATATGA